CACCGCCTGAGCGGACTCGCTGGGGGAAGCGCACGGAGAGGCAGAGGATGCTGAATGCTCCGAGGTCAGACCCAGGAAGGTGGAAGCTGTGTGAGCTGTGTGTCCTGAAGACAGGCTGCTCACAGAAAGGCGACTACCCCAGAGTCCTGACTGGCTTCATGGGGAGCAGTTCCAGAGCATCGCCCAGGGACTCCGTGACAGTGTCCAACGTCCCCTGAACGTCCCAGAGGGAGGAGTATCGAGGGGTAGCCATGTTAGTCTGTATCCACAAAAACAACAAGGAGTCCGGTGGCACCTTAAAGACTAACAGATTTATTTGGGCATAAGCTTTCGTGGGTAAAAAACCCAGTTCTTCAGACCTCCCAGGGCCCCGATCCAGTCCTGCCCTCGGGGCCCTCAGCTCTGGAGCTGGGCACGGATCCAGCCCGAGGTCCATGTCCCCAGGACACGGGCCAATGCCCACACCTGGGCCGGTGCCGCCCTCAGGCCCTGGACTCCCCTGGTCTAACGTCCTGGTAGCCCCTGGAAGGAGAGAGCAGAGGGGATGGGTTAGGGGGTGTAACAGTCCCACCCCCACCCCCGAGAGGGAGAGGACTCACCTGCGTCTGCTCCTCCACAGCACCACGGCCACGGCGGCTACGGCCAGAGCCCCCAGGGTGATACCCACGGCCAGGCCGGGGCCCCAGCCCCAGCTCTGCTCTGTAAAACAGGGGGTGCCATGCTGGGAACGGGGACAGGAGTATGGGCCCTGGTCCCTCCACCTCTCCTGCAGTCCCTCCCCTTCTCCCCCCACCTTCCCAACCCCTCCTCTTCCCCCCACTCTAGTCCTGCTCCCCCTTCCCAATCTTGTACCATTCCCCTCAGCTCCTCCATCCTGCTCCCCCTGGTCCATCTCCACACCGCTGTGACGAAGTGGGACTGTTCTTAATGTTTCCTCTGAATAGTGTGGGGGTGCCTCAGTTTCCCCTAGGTAGTTCTTAAGTATCTAGGGGGTGGAGTAAGGGTGTATGATCATTGCAGAGCCCTAGAGGGCAGGTGTGTGCAGGAGTCTGGACACAGAGAATGGCCGACACCCTGTTTCCTGGCAACTGATGGCCTGGGCCCTTCCCCCCTGCAAGGTGAGAGCTGAAGGGTTGGAGAACAAAGGAATCAGGTGACCACCTGGCCCGGGAAAGGAACAAAGCCCAGAGGAGGAGGGGCTGGAGGGGTTTTCAGTTTGGGGCTGGCTGGGACATGGAGTGAAGTGCAGACGTGGTTGTCTGGCTCACTGCCCCCCAAAATGGACCCAGCTGAGGGGTCCCGTTCTCTGCACCTGCAAGCTCTGTTTTAGACCATGTTCCTGTCGTCTAATAAACCTTCTGTTTTACTGGCTGGCTGAGAGTCACGTCTGACTGCGAAGTTGGGGGGCAGGACCCTCTGGCTTCCCCAGGACCTCGCCTGAGCGGACTCGCTGGGGGGAAGCGTACGGAGGGGCAGAGGATGCTGAATGCTCCGAGGTCAGACCCAGGAAGGTGGAAGCTGTGTGAGCTGTGTGTCCTGAAGACAGGCTGCTCACAGAAAGGCGACTGCCCCAGAGTCCTGACTGGCTTCATGGGGAGCAGTTCCAGAGCATCGCCCAGGGACTCCGTGACAACCCCACACCCACCTGCTCTGCTTCCCTGCACCCCAATCCCGCTGTCTGGACCCACCCCCGTCCCACTCAGGACGTGCAGGAAAAGCCCCCAGAGACCACGACCGCACCCCCCAGGGACGTGCCCCTACCCCAGGGGATCAGCAGGCTCTGGCCCCCCAGGCTGCTGTGCTCCACCCGGCAGGCGTAGCTGTGCCCGTCGCCCGGCTCCACGGCCAGGGAGCTGCGCAGCTGGTAGGTCAGGTCCGCGTTGGGCAGGATCCCGCTGGAGCTCAGCCGCCCGCCCGGCCCCACCTCCTCCCCGTCCTGCAGCCAGGCCACGCGGACGGGCCGGGGGTAGAAACCGGTGACCCGGCAAACCAGCAGTAACGGCGCGGGGGTCCCGGCTGGGGGAGGCGCTCGGGCAAACACCACGGCGACCGGCCGCTCTGAGACAGGGGGAGAGAGACGGGGTGGGGGAGAGGGACGATTCAGTCTGAGCCTCAGGGACTCACTAGCCAAACCCAGCTCCATCCCCCGGGGTCGGGCGTTGGCCCCACTGTCCTGGCCAGGCCCCAATTCTGTCTCCTGCAGTTACCAGGGGTGAGGGAATCCCCCTTCACTTCCTGTCCTAAACGGCTGTGCAGTGCGGCTATGAAATGGCTACGGTGCTCCACCCCAGCTATAGCTGCATTTGTACACCAGGCCAGGGGTCCCTGGATAAACAGCCCCCGTAACCCACCCCAGAGGTGGCTGCATCTCAGTCCAAGGTGAGGATCTTTGTACAAACAGCCCCCATGCCCAACCCCAGAGATGGCTGCATAGGAGCACTGGGTGCGGGATCTCTGTATAAACAGCAAACACACCCCACCCCAGAGGTGGCTGCATGGCAGCGAGTGGTGTCCAGCCTCACCTTGCCTCTCCAGAGACTCTTTCCCATGCTGGACAAAGCTCTTGATCTGATTGACACACGTCATTCTCAGGAGAAACTGAAGCGTGATGGCTGTGCTCTTATCCAGGTTGAGAAGGTCCCGGGCGTAGAGCGCCAGCTTGTCCCCCTGCCGAGCGACCCATTTGCCTGCATCCGCGTCGAAGCTGATAAAGTCCTCCCCATTCACTCCGGTGTCATCGAATCCCCTCGAGGTGCCGTTGGGGTGCAGCTCGCAGCCGAGGGAGCCCTGGGTAATGAAGGGGTCTGGAACAGGAAGGGCAGGGGGATGAGGAGGGGTGTCCGGAGGTCACAGGAGAGGGCAGAAATAGAGAGACGGGGTTAGTAAAGACATAATGTCAGGTGCCATGAGGATGTTGGGCCATACAAGGGCAGCAGGATTGTGGGGTGGCCCTGGCTGGAGTTAAGGGTAAATTGCAGTTTCTGTTTCAAACTGATTTTTCACGTGCAGTTAGATTGGCTTGAAAATCGCTGCGTTAAATCGGTGCCTGAGGCAGAGTTTGTGATGCAAATTTGGGGTTCCTCGGTCACGGGGTTCCTGAGATACAGACCCCCGCCCAAATGACCTGCTTTCAAAGCGTCAGGCTACATGTCAGGAAAGACCCGGAGCCTCGGCTCAGGGAGTGGGACGTGGGGCCTTTCCCCTCTAGGAAGTTCAAGCTACAATCTGGCCCCAGACCTGGCTGGCTGACTCTGGGGTGGAGAATGGGGTACGGGTGTTTCCCCTCTGAAGGACGCCGGCTCCAAACAGCCTACGGGCCAGGGACTGGCTGTCTTGCCCCCAGGGACACACTCAGTGGCTGTGGTGAGTGTGTCAGTTCCCAGCACCCCGCTTCGTACTCACAGGCCATTCCCTGCTGCTGAGCTATCCTATTCACAGTACGGTTGAAATTGAACAGGTAGTGATGGATCAGCAGCTCCAGGTCCTGCCACTCCTTCGGGGTCAGGCCCCGCTGGGCCCAGGGCTGCAGGAAGCGGATCTGGCAGGTGCTGCAGTCCATGGAGTGGGTCTCCAGGTCGCCCAGCAGGGCCATCCCCTCCATGTCCGTGGAGCTGGCGTTGTGGAAGACATTGATCTGGAGCAGCTGCAGGGTGACAGACGCTGGCGGGAGAGGAGGGGAGGCTGAGGCCGGGAAGAAGAAGAGGACAAAGTGGGTGGGGAGAGAGATTAATGAGTCTCTGTCCCTTAAACAATCCTGCACTCCGGGGTCTCCCTGCTGATCCCTAACCTGTCTCCCCCGTCCTACTCCCGCAGCAAGAGTCACTAGCCCAGCATGGTACTTCCCCACCCTGCCCCTAGTATTACACCATTCACATGCATCCCTGGTAGCAGAAAGGGCAGGAGGGGTCTCCACTTACCAGCCCGGGCCCCCCATTCCCAGGAGAGAAGCAGCAAAGGGAGCAGCATCCTGGCAGGGGAAGGGGGATTCGGGCTCTGGCAGATGTCAGGGCAGCGGGACGTGGGGCCCAGGATCCCCATGTGCTTTCAGTTCCTCCGCATCCTACACGCCTCTATGACAACTTCTCTTTTTCTCTGTGCTTTCTCAGCGCTGTCCCCTCGGCTGCCAGCCCCGAGCCAATCAGGGCAGAGGGAGTTGGGGAGCGGGGGCAGCGCGGGAGGGGGATCCCGGCAGCAAGATCAGAACCAGGCCCTGTCCCCGGCAGACTCAGCCTCTGTCCACATTGGCACTTCGTCCGCAAAACTTTTGTCGTTCAGCGGTGTTAAAAACACACTCCCGAAGGACAAGAGTTTTCCTGAGGAAGCGTGCGGGTGTGAACAGTGCTCCTGCCGACAAAGCCGCTGCTGCTCCTGGGGGTGGATGTTTTTTGTCGGCAGGAGAGCTCCCTCCTGCCGACAACCAGCTGGGATGCTGCGTGCTTTTCGCGGCCATGGTGTGTGTGAGACGCCCCCTCCATCTCCTCCAGCCTGCGGTACCGCTGCTCCCAGCAAAGCCCCCGCGCCACAATGGGGCATCAGGCCAGCCCTGCCTGCCCGGGCAGAGCCCCTGCTGCCCCCCGCCCCGCTCCCTGCAGCCCAGCCCCTAGCGCCGCCCTGGGGCAATGGGGCCAGCCCTGGGCTGTGGACAGGCTGGGGTGTTATTGTAGGGTCACTGAGGAACGCTGGGCTGTGGACAGGTATCATGGAGTGTGGGGGAGTCCGGGCCCTGCACCCCTCTTCCTGGGATTCACTGTGATTCCTGGGATTCTCAGCCAGCCAGTAAAACAGAAGGTTTATTGGACAATGGGAACACAGTCTTAAACAGAGCTTGTGGGTACAACCAGGACTTCACAGTCAAGTCCTTCGGGGGGTGTGACGAAGTGGGACTGTTCTTAATGTTTCCTCTGAATAGTGTGGGGGTGCCTCAGTTTCCCCTATGAAGTCCTTAAGTATGTAGGGGGTGGGGTGAGGGTGTATGATCATTGCAGAACCCTAGAGGGCAGGTGTGTGCAGGAGTCTGGACACAGAGAATGGCCGACACCCTGTTTCCTGGCAACTGATGGCCTGGGCCCTTCCCCCCTGCAAGGGGAGAGCTAAAGGGTTGGAGAACAAAGGAATCCGGTGACCTCCTGGCCCGGGAAAGGAACAAAGCCCAGAGGAGGAGGGGCTGGAGGGAGTTTCAGTTTGGGGCTGGCTGGGACATGGAGTGAAGGGCAGACGGGGTTGTCTGGCTCACTGCCCCCAAAATGGACCCGGCTGAGGGGTCCTGTTCTCTGCACCTGCAAGCTCTGTTTCAGACCACGTTCCTGTCGTCTAATAAACCTTCTGTTTTACTGGCTGGCTGAGAGTCACGTCTGACTGCGGAGTTGGGGGGCAGGACCCTCTGGCTTCCCCAGGACCCCGCCTGGGCAGACTGGCCGTGGGAAGCGCACGGAGGGGCAGAGGATGCTGAAGGCTCCGAGGTCAGACCCAGGAAGGGGGAAGCCGGGTGAGCTGTGTGTCCTGCAGACAGGCTGCTCACAGGAAGGCGACTGCCCCAGAGTCCTGACTGGCTTCATGGGGAGCAGTTCCAGAGCATCGCCCAGGGACTCCGTGACAGATGGGGAGGGCAGGGAGCTTAGACCACAGCCCTGGGGATCCCTGCAATACCCCCCACACAGGGCTGGGTGTGGTACTGAGGCAGGCCAATGCAATGGGGGAGAAACACCCCATCATGTCCCTGAGCAGGAAGCTGCTGCCCTGGGAGCAGGGCTATGCGGCCATAGAGAAGGCACTGGGTGGGCTCTTAACAGGCTGCAGCCGGATCTCTTTGGGGCCACTTCACTGTGTACAGGGACCACTCGCCCTGCCACAGCTGAACCAGATGAGAGGGGCCAATGCCAAGCTCCTGAGGTGGAGTCTGTCCTTCCAGGATTAAGAGGTGAGAGTGGTGCTTTGTCCCGGAGAGGGAGGCCTGAACTTCCCCAGGTCACTGGCTATGGTGACCCTGCTCAGTTCGATCTCCAAGCCGGGAGAGATGTGACTGTGACGTTCTGCGTGTAATATCATATCTCATTGACGGGTGACAGGGCCAGAAAGAGTTATTAACTCACAGACTGACGTGACCCAGGGCTGAACTGTAAAGACTGGTTAGGAAGATCTGGAAATGAAGAGAGGTTTGCAATGCAGCCGGCATGGTTAGAGAGAGAAGGGGAGCTGCGTGCTCAGGTCTTGTGATGTCAGCAAACAAGTCTTATCTATGGCTGTGGCTTTGATCCAAAGATCAAAAAGGCGTATTAATATTTAGGAAGACACTGGAGGGAACTAGTAAGATTGTCTCTTTGTCTCTGGGAAGGTTGTGATAACCTGTGTCTGAACTGTTTAATGGAGAAATGACCCTGGGCTAATTGCCAGGATGTTTGGGAGGAGGAAATTTAAGCCGATTGTTTTCTCAGGCCAAAAGGCTGCAGGAAATGTATAAAGACCCCGGGACCTGATCCTTCTTCATCTCAGATCTGCTTTGGGGTTCAAGAGGGGGAAACCTTAAGCCATAAGGATTGAGATCCCCAGTCACTGACTGGAGCCACCCTGAATATGGACATTGGACTATAACCTGTGGACTGTTTCTAGACTCCACATTCTACAGGCCATTACCCTCTGATCCCACTGAGGATTACCAAAAGAAACTACACCATCTGCTCAAGAAACTCCCTGAAAAAGCACAGGAACAGACCTGTGCAGACACATGCCTAGGAACCCCGACCAGGGGTATTCTATCTGCTACCCAAGATCCATAAACCTGGAAATCCTGGACTCCCCATCATCTCAGGCATTGGCACCCTGACAGCAGGATTGTCTGGCTATGTAGACTCTCTCCTCAGGCCCTACGCTCCCAGCGCTCCCAGCTATCTTCGAGACACCACTGACTTCCTGAGGAAACTACAATCCATCGGTGATCTTCCTGATAACACCATCCTGGCCACTATGGATGTAGAAGCCTCTACACCATCATTCCACACAAAGATGGACTCCAAGCCTCCAGGAACACTATCCCCGATAACGTCACGGCAAACCTGGTGGCTGAACGTTGTGACTTTGTCCTCATCCATAACTATTTCACATTTGGGGACAATGTATACCTTCAGATCAGCGGCACTGCTATGGGTACCCGCATGGCCCCACAGGATGCCAACATTTTTATGGCTGACTTAGAACAACGCTTCCTCAGCTCTCATCCCCTAACGCCCCTACTCTACTTGCGCTACATTGATGACCTCTTCATCATCTGGACCCACGGGAAGGAGGCCCTTGAGGAATTCCACCATGATTTCAACAATTTCCATCCCACCATCAACCTCAGCCTAGACGAATCCACACAAGTGGTCCATTTCCTGGACACTACTGTGCTAATAAGTGATGGTCACATAAACACCACCCTGTACCGGAAACCTACTGACCTACTGACTATTCCTACCTACATGCCTCCAGCTTTCATCCAGGACACACCACACGATCCATTGTCTACAGCCGAGCTCTACGATACAACCGCATTTGCTCCAACCCCTCAGACAGAGACAAACACCTACAAGATCTCTCTCAAGCATTCTTACAACTACAATACCCACCTGCTGAAGTGAAGAAACAGATTGACAGAGCCAGAAGAGTTCCCAGAAGTCACCTACTACAGGACAGGCCCAACAAAGATAATAACAGAACACCACTAGCCGTCACCTTCAGCCCCCAAGTAAAACCCCTCCAACGCATCATCAAGGATCTACAACCTATCCTGAAGGACGACCCATCGCTCTCACAGATCTTGGGAGACAGACCAGTCCTCACTTACAGACAGCCCCCCAACCTGAAGCAAATACTCACCAGCAACCACACACCACACAACAGAACCACTAACCCAGGAACCTATCCTTGCAACAAAGCCTGTTGCCAATTGTGCCCACAGATCTATTCAGGGGACACCATCACAGGGCCTAATCACATCAGCCACGCTATCAGGGGCTCGTTCACCTGCACATCCACCAATGTGATCTATGCCATCATGGGCCAGCAGTGCCCCTCTGCCATGTACGTTGGCCAAACTGGACAGTCTCTACGTAAAAGAATAAATGGACACAAATCAGACATCAGGAATCATAACATTCAAAAACCTGTAGGAGAACGCTTCAATCCCTTTGAGATTTAAGGGTGCCAATTTTGCAACAGGTTTCAGAGTAGCAGCCGTGTTAGTCTGTATTCGCAAAAAGAAAAGGAGGACTTGTGGCACCTTAGAGACTAACCAATTTATTTGAGCATAAGCTTTCATGAGCTACAGCTCACTGCATCGGATGCGTTCAGTGGAAAATGCAGTGAGGAGGTTTTTATACACACAGACCATGAAAAAATGGGTGTTTATCACTTCAAAAGGTTTTCTCTTCCCCCACCCCGCTCTCCTGCTGGTAATAGCTCACCTTACCTGATCACTCTGGTTACAGTGTGTATGGTAACCCCCATTGTTTCATGTTCTCTGTGTATATAAATCTCCCCACTGTATTTTCCACTGAATGCATCCAATGAAGTGAGCTGTAGCCCACGAAAGCTCATGCTCAAATAAATTGGTTAGTCTCTAAGGTGCCACAAGTCCTCCTTTTCTTTTTGCAGATACAGACTAACACGGCTGATACTCTGAAACCTGTCATTGTTATGTTGTATGTGAGCCTGTGTGAGTCTTACTGTTTTGCATGAAAGCTGTGTGTGCCTCAGTTTCCCTGTGTATTGCACCAATGTCTAGGTGGTGGGAACAAGGGGGTGTGACTGGCGGGGGCTGCTCCAGCTGTCTGCAGGGATGCTATGGCCGCCCCTTCCTAACCTGAGACCCAGGAGGGGTATGCGACCAGGTGACTCTTGGCCTGGGAAGCGGGACAAAGGCCGGAGGAGCAACGGGCTGGGCAGGGGCCAGGCAGCTGGAAGCGAGTCAGTCTCTGCTGGCTTGGGGCGCAGGGGGAGGGCCAGAGTCCTGTCTCTGGGCTCCCCTCCCCCCAAGATGGACTTGGCTGAAAGTCACTGATTTCTGTGCTAACAAGTTCTGTCGACTTATAAACCTTCTGTTTTCCTGGCTGGCTGAGAGTCCCGTCTGACTGCGGAGTCGGGGGGCAGGACCCTCTGGCTTCCCCAGGACCCCGCCTGGGCGGACTCGCTGTGGGAAGCGCACGGAGGGGCAGAGGAGGCTGAATGCTCCGAGGTCAGACCCAGGAAGGTGGAAGCCGGGGGAGCTGTGTGTCCTGCAGACAGGCTGCTCACAGGGAGGAGGCTCCCCCAGAGTCCTGCCTGGCTTCATAGGGAGCAGTTCCAGAGCATCGCCCGGGGACTCCATGACAAAGAGAAACTGCAACTTACCCTTAACTCCAGCCAGGGCCGCCCCACAATCCTGCTGCCCTTGTATGGCCCAACATCCTCATGGCACCTGACATTATGTCTTTGCTCCCCCATCTCTCTATTTCTGCCCCCTCCTGGGACCTCCAGATGCCCCTCCTCATCCCCTGCCCTTCCTGTTCCAGACCCCTTCATTACCCAGGGCTCCCTCGGCGGCGAGCTGCACCCCAACGGCACCTCGAGGGGATTCGATGACACCGGAGTGAATGGGGAGGACTTTATCAGCTTCGACGCGGACGCAGGCAAATGGGTCGCTCGGCAGGGGGACAAGCTGGCGCTCTACACCCAGGACCTTCTCAACCTGGATAAGAGCACAGCCATCACGCTTCAGTTTCTCCTGAGAATGACGTGTGTCAATCAGATCAAGAGCTTTGTCCAGCATGGGAAAGAGTCTCTGGAGAGGCAAGGTGAGGCTGGACACCACACGCTGCCATGCAGCCACCTCTGGGGTGGGGTGTGTTTGCTGTTTATACAGAGATCCCGCACCCAGTGCTCCTATGCAGCCATCTCTGGGGTTGGACTGGGGGGCTGCCTATACAAAGATCCCTCACCTGGTACTGCCATGCAGCCACCTCTGGGGTGGGTTATGGGGGCTGTTTATCCAGGGACCCCTTGCCTGGTGTACAAATGCAGCTATAGCTGGGGTGGAGCACCGTAGCCATTTCATAGCCGCACTGCACAGCCGTTTAGGACAGGAAATGAAGGGGGATTCACTCACCCCTGGTAACTGCAGGGGGCAGAATTGGGGTCTGGCCAGGACAGTGGGGCCAACGCCCGACCCTGGGGGATGGAGCTAGGCTTGGCGAGTGAGTCCCTGAGGCTCAGACTGAATCGTCCCTCTCCCCCGCCCCGTCTCTCTCCCCCTGTCTCAGAGCGGCCGGTCGCCGTGGTGTTTGCCCGAGCGCCTCCCCCAGCCGGGACCCCCGCGCCGTTACTGCTGGTTTGCCGGGTCACCGGTTTCTACCCCCGGCCCGTCCGCGTGGCCTGGCTGCAGGACGGGGAGGAGGTGGGGCCGGGCGGGCAGCTGAGCTCCAGCGGGATCCTGCCCAACGCGGACCTGACCTACCAGCTGCGCAGCTCCCTGGCCGTGGGGCCGGGCGACGGGCACAGCTACGCCTGCCGGGTGGAGCACAGCAGCCTGGGGGGCCAGAGCCTGCTGATCCCCTGGGGTAGGGGCACGTCCCCAGGGGGTGGGGGTGCGGTCGTGGTCTCTGGGGGCTTTTCCTGCACGTCCTGAGTGGGACGGGGGTGGGTCCAGGCAGTGGGATTGGGGTGCAGGGAAGCAGAGCAGGTGGGTGGGGGGATGGATCATGGGGAGCAGGATGGAGGAGCTGAGGGGAACGGGACAGGACCGGGATGGGGGAGCAGAACTTGAGGAGGTGGGAAGGTGGGGGGAGAAAGGGGTGGGACTGTGGGGGAGGCAGAGGGAACAGGGTGGGGGGCTGAGGGCAGTGGGTCGGGTGGCTGGGGGGGACTGTGGCAGAGGCGGAGGGACCCGGGCCCATACTCCTGTCCCCGTTCCCAGCACAGCCCCCCCTGTTTTACAGAGCAGGGCAGGGGCTGGGGCCCCGGCCTGGCCGTGGGCATCACCCTGGGGGTTCTGGCTGTAGCCGCCGTGGCCGGGGTGCTGTGGAGGAGCAGTCGCAGGTGAGTCCTCTCCCTCTCGGGGGTGGGGGTGGGACCGTTACACCCCCTAACCCATCCCCTCTGCTCTCTCCTTCCAAGGGCGACCAGGACGTTGGACCAGGGGAGTCCAGGGCCTGAAGGGGCGACACCAGCGCAGGCGTGGGCATTGGCCCCTCTCCTGGCGACTTGGACCTGTGCCCTGCTCTAAGCGATTTGTCCTGAATTGATACTGTTGCCGGCACCCAGTGCCAGAGGCAAGCGGCAGCAGGGGTTCGCTGCCCGGTGTGCGTCACCCAATAAACACAATGGGGTGGAGAAGCAGAAAGGTTTATTTGGAGCTCCAAAGAAGGTGCAGGGAGAACAGAATCTCAAATCCTGCCCAGGGAGCCGGCAGAGTCACATACCTTTCTACTCCTCATCTCTGTTGCATTACACATCAGCCAAGTAAACTGCTTCGCCTTACATGGGTTACAACAATACTTTTTCCGGCAACCTTTAACGAGCATTTTAGCAATTCAAAACAACAGCACAGCCTGCTTAGCCTTGCGATTAACGAGGCAAATAAGCGGTTATGGCCTTGTAGCTGATTCCTGCCGTTATCCTAACGTGACGCCAGCTAAACCTGCACAGAACAGCTCTGTCTGCAGCTGCAGTATTATGTTGGGAGTGCAAGGGCTTTCTCAGGCCAGCCAGGACTGAATTCTGTGAAGGGGGGTTGAGCAAAGAGACTGCCTCGACACTCATGGCCTTCCATCCCCTCGGCTTACCTAGTGGCCATGCCCTGGGACCCCAACAATACTCTCAGTTGTGTCCCGCCAAAGGCCGCATTGTTACAAGGGCGTAGTCGTGCTGGATCCACAGAACCAGGTCAATTAAGCTCTGGATCAGAACCCCACGCTATCCAAATTTGAATTTTGGTATTGTTGGTTAAAGTTCAGTAACCATAAGCCAGAAGGAAGGTGCTGAAAGGGAGGAAAGGGCTCGTAGGGGGCGTATGGAACTGCTGGCTGCTGAGGAGAGGGTTCAAGAGATGCAACAAGAAACTGCCAGACTTCAGCTCCAGGTCAAAAAAGCAAGGGAACAACAGCAGAAACTATCCCCTTGAAAGTCCAGTTTCTATCAATGTTGGCATGTTGTATTATCCTGAGCAGTTGTCTGTGTTGAACCAGTTTTGCTACAGCCAGGGAGAGGGTGACTCTAACCTGGGAAAGGAGGCAAATAGCTGTTTGTCTGTGAATGAAGTTTCTGAATGTCTGTCTAATGTCTCAGAAGTGAATCTGGAATTAGATCAAGCATGGAAAGATCTCATTGGTCAGGACAATGTTTCCCAGGAGCAGATTAAAGTGGATGGTCAGGGTGAAGCCCTAACTGAGGAAGGAAAGGGGAGATTTTTGATGGGTGGTGGATTGTGGGCACGTACAGCTTGTAAAAGTGAACCTCAAAAGGGTGACTGTGGTTTGCTGGAAGTAGCTCCGTGTAGTGTGGAGAACAGCAGGTTACGTGGTAAGGAAGCTGCCCCACTTTCCCAGTATTTGTCTGGAACCAGCCCTGGGTGCTGGGATGAGGGAGAGGAGGACAAGGAAATTTTGGAGGAGCCTAGGCAGCCTTGTGAGCTGATGGCTGTGTCCAGTCAGCAGGGTGGGAAGGCGAGGAGAGTGGAAGATGAGTGTCCCTGGACCTTACCTGTTAGCTGGGTGGAGAATTGGGACAGTGAAGGAAACGTGCCTGTGTCTGTCAGGGGTATTGACTTGCCTATGGAGGGAGCTACCCTGATCTCCAAGCAGTTGTCTGTGACCACCCTTGTGTGCTGGGACCAGGGGAAAGAGATCCCAAGCTGTGTGTCTGGTAAAGGAGAAAGTGTGTCCGGCTCTTCTTTGTCTGTGGAGCAGACAGAAGGGGCCTTTCAGCCTGTGATGGTTGATGGTCGTGCAGTTGTCTCAGAGCTGGTTCTGGATTCAGCTAAAGCCCAGGAAGGGAAGGGTCCTAAGTTTGTGTCTGCTCAGGAGAATGGCCCTGTAACTAGGTCACATCCAGTTAGTGTCTATGTAAAATCCCAGAGACCAGACAATTCTGGTTCTTGTATTTTGCCTGTTGCTTGTGTGTTGTTGGGAAAGGGTGTCGCAACTCTGTCTAATCAGGGTGAGATCCTAGCCAGGGCACAAGGAGACCATGAAGGTGATTTGGTTGAGTTACCCACTAACAGTGTGGAAACTTGCAACAAGGAGGAAAGTTGCAGAGGGAAAGAGGATACCTCTAACCTTTTATCTAGTAAGTCTATGAGCTTGCCTGAAAGGAGGTGGTGTAAAAATCATCTGGATGGGCCAGAGGTGATTCTGGATGTAAGTGAGACCCAGAAAGAGTCTGTTGTTGCTCAGAAAAATATTCCTTTAGGGCAAGCCTGAGGTGAAGAGGGTAAGGGCAGAATTTCTGTAAGGGGTGAATTGTTGCTCGAAGAAGCTCCTAAGGAAAATAATCCTCATGGTACTTTTGCAAGCAGTTTGCTGCAGCTGAAGGGTGTGAAAGTGATTTAATCAAGGAAGTTTCAGTTCCTAACAGCCAGAAATGTTCTGTTGTGAATGGATCCACTGACTTTCCTGTTGAAGGATCCAGTGTGGAGAGCTTTGAGGAGGTCTCAGATGGGATGAAAGCTGTTTAGAAAGTTAAACAGTCCTATAACCAAGTGGCTGTGTTTGGCCAGCTTGTTGGGGAGACCAGGTTGTTGAGGGAGGAATGTCTCCATGCTGGTTCTGTGAGTGAACAGTATGTGGCCCAGGTTCAGAGGGAAGACTGGGGAGCTGAGTCTGCAGAGCAGAACAGCTGGGCAGTTAATCTCTGGAGAATGCAGGGAAGGGCAGGTCAACTCTCACCTCTCGACACTTGGGATCTGACTTGTAGTCTCTCAGTGGACTTAACGTATAATACCATGTGGAAGCAGAGGTTGGTAATGGAAGGACAACAGAACCTTGCATCTAACATGCCAGTGAAAATGGATGGTATCTCTTTAAGACAGAGTCCAGCCTTGGAATTGGTAACAGTTGAGAACCTGAAAACCAGTAAAGAGGCTAGTGGGTGTGTTGATGAACATTACCTGGCTGACAGAGGGAGAAAGACTTGCTAATAGCTGTTAGCACAGAGAGCATACCCAATGGATTCTGTTAAGCAAGAGAAATCAGGGTTTGATCCTTCAGGGCAAGGAGGAAAGAGAGAACTTAATTTTGCAAAGGGAAGCCACAGGGTAACCCTAAAGGGCCCAAACCCCAATGGCATTGGGCCAAAGGCGTGGCAGAACAAACATGATTGCAGATGGACACTTGCATATTGCACACCACCACATTGCTTTCCCGGCTAAATGCCAAGATCCCTGTACTATGGACTACATTAATGTTATTAAGATAATGTTGAAATAAGAAACGGTACAGAGTTCAAGCATAGAAGTTTCTGGTTGTCAAGGGGATAAGGTACAGATTATCAAGGGGTGCAAAATTCGATTTAGGAGCTGGTGGAGTAGGGATTACATAATAATCTGCAATCTCCCTGACTGGGGGTAAAAGTTTAACTGGTCAAAGTACAGACATTGAGATATGGGGGTAAGTTATCCACATAACAGCTATGTTCAGGGGCGGAGTATAGTGAGTGGATACGATGGTGGGGATGGGTCTACCCTCATTTGGTGGGATTTAATGTTCAGTGGGTTTACGGTTCCAGTTCATACGGTCCAATGGGGAAAGCCTCTCAGTCCCTTTCCCACAGTGGGTGCACGATGTCGTACCGGCTCACTCCTCCTGGTGCTGTCGGTGGCTGGTGATGTTCTCGATGTAGATGTCCCTGGACCATCGGATGGTGTCCGAGACCATGAGGCGCCGCATGAGCCGTGCGTAGCGTCGACTGAGCCCGCAGGTCCGCAGCACACGCTCGTTGCAGGGGTCCCAAGTGCCCAGGGCTCCGACGATCAGGGCGTCCAGCTGCACCTTGTAGCCCTTTGCTCTCAGGGTGTCAGCCAGAGGGGCGTATTTTTCCAGTTTCCGAGCTCGGGCTTCTCGGAAGGCCGGGGTCCTGTTCTCGAAGGGGACCGTGATGTCGATGAGGATGATCTTTTTCTGGGCCTCGTCGGTGACAACCACGTCGGGTCGCAGCGGGCTGTCAGTGCCGGGGATGGCGCAGTTCACAGCGACCTCCCCCAGGCGCGGTGCAATGGCTTTCACCAGGCGGTTCTGGATGGCGTTGTGGTGCAGCTGCCAGGCTCTGGAGTGGGGCTTGCAGCTGCACAGGACGTGGGGCAGGGTCTCGTTGGAGTAGCCGCACTTCCTGCAACGCTTGTCTCGGTTCCCGTGGCGGACGGCTCCGTTGAGCGGGACGCAGTTGAGCCAGGCGCGGTGGATCTACACTGGCTCACTATTAATTGGGTTCCAATCATTTGTCAGAGCTTGTATGGATAAAGTAGCTATGTTCTTTAGCTCTTGGCAAGATCACATGACACCTACAGGAACCATGCTGCAAGAGCAGATCCAATCCACTGTTGTTCTAACCAAGTTTTACCTTGAGTAAAGAGATTCAATCATGTTATTGAACATGACTTTGATAAATCATTTCTGTTGTACACTGGTACGGCCTCTAACCCAATACTTGCTGTAGTAAGACAGAACCAAGGAGGGGGAGCTCTTGGGATGCAGTCAGTGATGTTTGTGTCATCCCTTCCTGCATCAATTTTGCGTTGGGGGTGTGACGTTATCGACACGAACTGGGACCATATAGATCATTGTTGCAACCAAGGTCCCGTAGTGGCACCAAATCTTGTACAAAGGAGGTCAAATAAGGTGTCTATGAAAAGGTTATGATTTGCTGGTTATGATTATGCTATCTGGATGCATGTATCATTTTTGTATTTAAAGTTATAAGTACAGTGGAGTGGCATCTTACGCAGGGGTTAGGTTCTAACATCAGCGCGTAAGGCGAAAATCACGTATAGTCAAAATTACTCTTGAAAATCCCTTAAATCGCCCATAAAGTACAGTATACTGTACATGGTTTTGTGTCTACAACCCTGTACAGTAATATGTATAAATGTATAATGTATACAGTAATGTACATTATATAATAAAGAGTACATATGCAAATATAATTTTACAGTGCTGTACACACTCCGATGATTAGTCTTCCTCTTTCCCTGACAACACTATTGCGGGGTCGTCAGGGCTTGATGTCGATCCAGGAGACAGCGGTGACGGAGAGCTTGGGTGACGGAGAGCGAGTCGTAGACGAAGTGGTTGGCTCCGGTTCAGCTCGAGAAGTTGATTGCGTAGTCTTGTCTGCTGCTGGTTGTTTTTCCTTGAAAACCATGGTGATTGGCAACTGTCGCTATTGTCTCTTGAGCTGCTCAAACATTTCTTCGTACGGTCTCAAATCATCCGTAATACGATGTGTGATTTTGAGGCTTAGTTCCATAGAGGGATTGCATTCACAAATTAAATCATTCAGGTGTTTTGCTGCTTGGAACACGTCAGCAAATTGATGAAGATTCCAATTTGCTGGCTCTTCCTGTTCATCGTCATCATCTTCGTCTTCTGTAGACCGTTTAATCAGTTCCTCTAACTCTTTGTTAGTCAATGTTTCTCTATGGCTCTCAATTAATTCTTCAATTTCTTCCTCAAGGATGTCAACGAAGCCATCACCACCCACTTGCCTGGCCACCTGAACAATGCGTTTCACTTCTTTGTCAATGGTCGGGAAACCCTTAAAATCATTCACACATTCTTTCCATCGGTTTCGCCAACGTGCATTGACTGTTTCAGGCTTGATTGCATCCATTGCCTGTTTAATGTGAGTGATGCAATCGGCAATGTTGAAGGACTTCCAACACTCCATCACGTGAAGACTGGGATCAGCATCCATAGCGCTACGTATCCGTGAGAACGTAAGCCTAGTGTACGTGGCCTTGAAACAGCGAATCACGCCTTGGTCAAGAGGATGGAGGTGGTATGGGGGGGAGAAAGATGATGTCAGCGTTGTTATGCGCAAACCGGAGTGCCGCAGGGTGGCCAGGAGCATTATCTACAATCAGGAACACTTTAAAGTCCAGTCCTTTCTCTTCGCGGTACCGCTTGACCTCCGGAATGAAACACTTGTGGAACGAATCCAGAAAGAATGCTGCCCTCACCCAAGCCTCCTTTTTATTTGATTGCCAGAACACAGGCAGATTTTTGTTTTTGCCTTTTAGGGCACAGGGATTTCCAGCCCTGTAGAGCAAGCCCAGCTTTATTAAATACCCAGCTGCATTGCCACAAAACAACACAGTCACACGGTCTTGAGCTGCTTTGAAGCCAGGGGCTTGTTCTTCTGATTTCGAAGTGTAAGAGCGGTTGGGCGTTTTTTCCAGAAGAGTCCAGTCTCGTCTGCATTAAAAACTTGTTCCGGAAGAGAGCCCTTTGCTTCTGTGATATTCTTTAATTGTTCGGGGGAGGCTTTTGCTGCCTCTTCATTGGCAGATGCAGCTTCGCCAGGAGTTTCACCAGTCGTCTGCACGTTTTTGAGGTTGAAGTGGCTTGTGTTTAGAGGCCTGTGACGTTATTGACATAATCTGGGACCGTATAGATCATCATTGCAACCAAGCTCCTGGAGTGGCACCAAATCTTATATAAAGGGGGTCAAATAAGGTGTCTCAGACGAGGTTACGGTTTGCTGGTTATGATGATGCTGTCTATCTGTGTGCATCATTTTTGTAGTTAAAGTTATGAATATTGGCTCTCTACTGTCTGTAGTTCAAACTTATGCTCTGCTTCTGGGGGACACCCCAGACAAGTTGGTGTCAGCTCTGCCTAGTCCATTCAGGACCATCAGCGATACAAGTGACCCACTGAGAGAAGGCAGACACGCCTGGGGACTCAGCCAGGCAGGCAGGGACCTGCCTATGGAGAGAACTCTGAGGTGTTTCCAGGCCATGGGATGGGCAGCTTGTCCTTGGGACACAGAAAGCAGAGACCACACGGCAAGAGACTATAAAACACTGCTGCAGCTCCTCCAGCTGGTCTTCAGTCCTGCTTCTGACCTCTGGAGGGACTTGGCTACCCTGAAGCTTTGACCCAAGGACTGAAAGACCCATCCCCGCTGGGGATGTTCTCCAGAGACTTGATTTGAACCTGCCGTTTATTCCATCCCTGCTGCAAGCCTGAACCAAGAACTTGGCCAAGACTGTGTGTCATTGATTTCATTTCTCCAATTCTAGCTCTCGTCTCTATCTTTTTCCTTTTATGAATAAACCTTTAGATTTTAGATTCTAAAAGGTTGGCCACAGCGTGATTTGTGGGTAAGATCCGATTTGTATATTGACCTGGCTCTGGGGCTTGGTCCTTTGGGATCGAGAGAACCTTTGTTCTTTTACTGGAGGATTGGTTTTCATAACCACTCATCCCCATCAACGAGGGGCACTGGTGGGGATACTGGGAAACTGGAGTGTCTGAGGGAATTGCTTGGGTGACTTGTGGTTAGCCGGTGGGGTGAGACCAAAGTCTGCTCTGTCTGGCTGGTTTGGTTTGCCTTAGAGGTGGAAAAGCCCCAGCCCGGGGCTGTAACTGCCCTGCGTGAAGCACTTTGTCCTGACCTGGCGCTCTCAGTTGGGTCCTGCCAGGGCCATGTTGTACAAAAAATACGTATCTTTAAACACGAGGCTCACACTCAGCGCGGCGAGATGCTCACACTGTGAGAGGCGCGCGGGAACTGAGGGAACAGCAGATTCACGTCTCCCATCTCACGCTCGCTCCGGGGCATATGCTCGTCGAGAGGAATGGTGGGCGGAATCGCCCGCACGGTTTATCTTGTTCTTTTTCTTTGCTGAGCGCGTATAGTTAAATGCGCGTCAGTTCCGTGCGCGTACGATGCGACTCCACTGTGTTGGCTCCGGCCTGTCTGCAGTTCACACTTGTGCTCTGCTTCCGGGGGACACCCCAGACGGCTTGGCGTCAGCACTGCCTAGCCTGCCTACGGCCCGTTAGGGACCGTCAGCGACACACCGGACCCACTGCGAGAAGGCAGACACGCCGTGCGGCTCAGCCAGGCAGGCGGGGACCTGCCTATGGACAGGACTCTGAGGCCTCCAAGCCAGTGCTGAGCAGCTTGTGTTTGGGACAAAGGAAGCAGAGACTCTTAGTCGTGTCCCGTCAGAGGCTGCTTCGTTATGGGACCTTGGGGCTGGATCCGTGCCTGGCTCCAGAGCTGAGGGCCCCGCGGGCTGGTCTGGATCAAAATGCTGGGAGATCGGGGCCCTGGGTCGAGGGTCGGATTCTCCTCCCTCTGGGACGTTCAGGGGATGTTGGACACTTGGGGGCACCGTGGGATCACTCAGGATGGAGCCGGCGCTGGCCTGTGCCATTCAATAAACCCTTCAGGGCGGGGCTGCCCAGCGGGCCCCACCGGGGGCTGTAGGAGCCAGGGCCTGGGTGCAGGGGTGAGACCCGGCTACATACACCAAGGCGGTGGGCGCGGTTCCCCGCACTCTGCACTGGGCGCTCGTGGCCAGCCATGGCCTCGGCATCCTTTTCAGTCTCCTCTAGGCCCCTCCATCAGTGCTGGCGGTCCCGGCTCCCGGCAGGGCAGGCGCCCCGGGTCTTCTCGGCTGGGGCGTCGCTGCCCATCCGTCAGCGCCCTTGGCACGAACGCCGCTGGGAGCCGTTTGCACTGTGACGGGCGTTTCCCAGTAGGTCACTTACAGCCCAGGTTACGGTGTGTCTAGCACGGGGGGCCTGGGTTCCTCCAGCCCTCTGCCAAGGGGAGCCCAGGCCCAGATTCCCCGCAGCCCACCTGACCACACCCCCTGGAGCCTCTGTTCCCGCCGGAGCCAGTCACCTGCCTTCAGGTAGGTGAGGAGTCAGCCCCAGCACGAAGCCCCCGACCCCCGTCAGCATCGGGCTCCTGGCAGAGTCAGGCTGCGCTGCTGGGAAAACAGGAGCTCAAGGGGTTCGGTCTCAGCCCGGCCTCCCGTTCCCCTTCTCACGTCCCAGCTCTCTGCCCCAGGGCGGGGCGGGGCAGGGTGGGGCTCTGACCCAGGCTCATCCCCCCAGGGGTGCCCCTGCAGGCTCAGGGGTGGCCCCACACCCAGAGGCTCTTACCCCACGCTGCCCATCACCCCAGGGATTGGGCACCCCCAGCCCAGGGGCCAGTGAGCACCAGGGCTGGGCAGAGTCAGCAGTCGCCAGGCAGAGCCGGGCTCAGCTGCCCCCTTCCCAGGGAGTGGGGGGACCCAGGTCCCCGCAGCAGCAGATGGAGCAGGATGCGCCAAAGCCCCTCTGCCCCGGGAGTGTGGGGGTAAATTTAACCTTTTTGGCCACCCGACCCCCCCAAGAGTCTTCCAGCCCCGGGGCTCAGAGCTCCTTGCGGGGCTGGTCATTGTCCCATTGCACAGAGGGGCAGCAGGTTGGGGGGCTGTGGGAGACCCCTCCGAGGAGAGGGGGGCGATACCCCAGAGCGCTGGCCCAGCCTGTCGCTGATGCCGAGCCCTCAGGGATCCTGCAGGACCTCTGACCTGCAGAGAAAGGAGCGAGGCCCCGGTGGTGGGGGCTGGCTCGAGGGGCAGCGACTTGGGGGGTCCCGCCGCCGTCCCTGGAGGTGGGGGCGGAGCAGGAACAACACGGGGTGCAGCTCTGAGCATCGTTTACTAGCACGTTACAGACATTCACAGGGGCAACCTCCGGCGGGGTCACTGCGCTTCTGCACAGGAGTCTGTCACGGGACTTGGGGGTGCTGAGGGGGTCAGGCTCCCCTCCCCGGGGGAGCGGGCACCTGGGATTTGTGTTATAACCGATGGCCCAGATCACACAGCTCCCCCCACAGAGACCCCCGGCGCAGGGCTCCCCGGGCTGCCAGCCCCCGGGTAGGGACTCAGCGGAGCACTGGGCCTGGCATGGAGAGGGGCCTACACAGGGGGGCCGGGGCAAGTTCAGTGGAGGATCCTGGCTCCAAGCTCCCCACTCTAACCACTAGACCCAGAGCTGGGGAGAGAACCCAGGAGTCCTGCCTCCCAGCCCCCCTGCTCTAACTCACCAGACCCCACTCCCCTCCCAGAGCTGGGGAGAGAACCCAGGAGTCCCGGCTCCCAGCCCCCCTGCTCTAACTCACCAGACCCCACTCCCCTCCCAGAGCTGGGGAGAGAACCCAGGAGTCCCGGCTCCCAGCCCCCCTGCTCTAACTCACCAGACCCCACTCCCCTCCCAGAGCTGGGGAGAGAACCCAGGAGTCCTGCCTCCCAACCCCCCTGCTCTAACTCACCAGACCCCACTTCCCTCCCAGAGCTGGGGAGAGAACCCAGGAGTCCCGGCTCCCAGCCCCCCTGCTCTAACTCACCAGACCCCACTCCCCTCCCAGAGCTGGGGAGAGAACCCAGGAGTCCTGGCTCCCAGCCCCCCTGCTCTAACTCACCCACTTGCAGCCCCTCCCTGAGGGCTTTGCCGAGTGACACAGGGCAGCGCTGGCCCCAGTGAGTGCAGTGGCCCTTGGGGACCCTGGATCCCAGCCCCCCCAGCCTTCCCCCCCACCATATAGAGTAGAGACCCCCCCCCCAGCCCCTGGCATATCCCCCTGCACCCAAAGGGTCAATCTCCCAGCGCCCCCCCCCCGATCCAGACCCATCCCATGCCCACACCTGGGCCGGTGCCGCCCTCAGGCCCTGGACTCCCCTGGTCCAACGTCCTGGTAGCCCCTGGAAGGAGAGAGCAGAGGGGATGGGTTAGGGGGTGTAAAGGCCCCACCCCCGAGAGGGAGAGGACTCACCTGCGTCTGCTCCTCCACAGCACCCCGGCCACGGCGGCTATGACCAGAGCCCCCAGGGTGATGCCCACGGCCAGGCCGGGGCCCCAGCCCCAGCTCTGCTCTGTAAAACAGGGGGTGCCATGCTGGGAACGGGGACAGGAGTATGGGCCCTGGTCCCTCCACCTCTCCTGCAGTCCCCCCCAGCCACCCGACCCACTGCCCTCAGCCCCCCTGACCATGTTCCCTCAGCCTCCCCCGCAGTCCCACCCCTTCTCCCCCCACCTTCCCAACCCACTGCCCTCAGCCCCCCACCCCAGCCCTGTTCGCTCAGCCTCCCACGCAGTCCCCACTGCACCCTTCACCCTGACCCACTGCCCTCAGCCCCCCACCCTGTTCCCTGAGCCTCCCCTGTAATCCCCCTGCTCCTCCCACCCCAACCCACTGCCCTCAGCCCCCCACCCTGTTCCATCAGCCTCCCCTGTAATCCCCCTGCTCCTCCCACCCCAACCCACTGCCCTCAGCCCCCCACCCTGTTCCATCAGCCTCCCCTGTAATCCCCCTGCTCCTCCCACCCCAACCCACTGCCCTCAGCCCCCCACCCTGTTCCATCAGCCTCCCCTGTAATCTCCCGTGATCCCCCCAACGCACCGCCCTCAGCCCCCCACCCTGTTCCATCAGCCTCCCCTGTAATCTCCCGTGATCCCCCCAACGCACTGCCCTCAGCCCCCCACCCTGTTCCATCAGCCTCCCCTGTAATCCCCCGTGATCCCACCAACGCACCGCCCTCAGCCCCCCACCCTGTTCCATCAGCCTCCCCTGTAATCCCCCGTGATCCCCCACAACGCACTGCCCTCAGCCCCCCACCCTGTTCCATCAGCCTCCCCTGTAATCCCCCCCAATGCACTGCCTTCAGCCCTGCTCTACACCAGCCCTGTTCTCTCATCTGCCTCTGCTGCCCCCCGCCCCACTGCTCACCCCTACTCCCACCTCCTTTGGCTCCCTGCGTGCCAGTCCTGCTCCCCCCTGTCGAACCCCTCCAGACCCCTGCCTCTGTCCCCAGTGTCCCCAGCCCTGCCCCATTGTCTCCCCCTGCCCCACTCCACACAGCTCCTCCATCCCGTCCCATTCATTCTCCCCTCAGCCCCCACCCTGCTCCTCCCCTCACCAGTCAGCCTCACCTCAGTCCCCGGAAAAATCATGGAGCAGGTCCTCAAAGAATCAATTCTGAAGCACTTACATGAGAGGAAAGTGATCAGGAACAGTCAGCATGGATTCACCAAGGGAAGGTCATGCCTGACTAATCTAATTGCCTTCTATGACGAGATAACTGGTTCTGTGGATGAGGGGAAAGCAGTGGACGTGTTGTTCCTTGACTTTAGCAAAGCTTTTGACACGGTCTCCCACAGTATTCTTGTCAGCAAGTTAAGGAAGTATGGGCTGGATGAATGGACTCTAAGGTGGATAGAAAGCTGGCTAGATTGTCGGGCTCAACGGGTAGTGATCAATGGCTCCATGTCTAGTTGGCAGCCGGTGTCAAGTGGAGCGCCCCAGGGGTCGGTCCTGGGACCGGTTTTGTTCAATATCTTCATTAATGATCTGGAGGATGGTGTGGATTGCACCCTCAGCAAGTTTGCAGATGATACTAAACTGGAAGGAGAGGTAGATACGCTGGAGGGGAGGGATAGGATACAGAGGGACCGAGACAAATTGGAGGATTGGGCCAAAAGAAATCTGATGAGGTTCAATAAGGACAAGTGCAGAGTCCTGCACTTAGGACGGAAGAACCCAATGCACAGCTACAGACTGGGGACCGAATGGCTAGGCAGCAGTTCTGCAGAAAAGGACCTAGGGGTGACAGTGGACGAGAAGCTGGATATGAGTCAGCAGTGTGCCCTTGTTGCCAAGAAGGCCAGTGGCATTTTGGGATGTATAAGTAGGGGCATAGCGAGCAGATCGAGGGACGTGATCGTTCCCCTCTATTCGACATTGGTGAGGCCTCATCTGGAGTACTGTGTCCAGTTTTGGGCCCCACACTTCAAGAAGGATGTGGATAAATTGGAGAGAGTCCAGGGAAGGGCAACAAAAATGATTAGGGGTCTGGAACACATGAGTTATGAGGAGAGGCTGAGGGAGCTGGGATTGTTTAGTCTGCAGAAGAGAAGAATGAGGGGGGATTTGATAGCTGCTTTCAACTACCTGAGAGGTGGTTCCAGAGAGGATGGTTGTAGACTATTCTCAGTGGTAGCAGATGACAGGACAAGGAGTAACGGTCTCAAGTTGCAGTGGGGGAGGTTTAGGTTGGATATTAGGAAAAACGTTTTCACTAGGAGGGTGGTGAAGCACTGGAATGCGTTACCTAGGGAGGTGGTGGAATCTCCTTCCTTAGAAGTTTTTAAGGTCAGGCTTGACAAAGCCCTGGCTGGGATGATTTAGTTGGGGATGGGTCCTGCTTTGAGCAGGGGGTTGGACTAGATGACCTTCTGGGGTCCCTTCCACCCCTGATATTCTATGATTCTATGATTCCTGTTTCAGTCCTGTCCCGTCCCCCTCAGCTCCTCCATCCAGTTCCCCCATCCACCCCCACATCCCCCACTCACCCCTCTGCCTCCCTCCGCCCCAATCCCGCTGCCTGGACCCACCCCCGTCCCACTCAGGACGTGCAGGAAAAGCCCCCAGAGACCACAACCGCACCCCCACCCCCCGAGGACGTGCCCCTACCCCAGGGGATCAGCAGGCTCTGGTCCCCCAGGCTGCTGTGCTCCACCCGGCAGGCGTAGCTGTGCCCGGCGCCCGGCCCCACGGCCAGGGAGCTGCGCAGCTGGTAGGTCAGGTCCGCGTTGGGCAGGATCCCGCTGGAGCTCAGCCGCCCGCCCAGCCCCACCTCCTCCCCGTCCTGCAGCCAGGCCACGCGGACGGGCCGGGGGTAGAAACCGGTGACCCGGCAAACCAGCAGCAACGGCGCGGGGGTCCCGGCTGGGGGAGGCACTCGGGCAAACACCATGGCGACCGGCCGCTCTGAGACAGGGGGAGAGAGACAGGGCGGGGCAGAGAGACGATTCAGTTACAATTTGTGATGGAACCCCCTTCACTTCCTGTCCTAAACTGTTGTAGCTGCATCCGTATGCCAGGCAAGAGATCCCTGTAGAAACAAGCCCAGCGTCCCACCCCAGAGGCAGCTGCAATTCTGCGCCCAGTGAGAGATCCCTGTGTATGCAGCCCCTGCACACCAGCCAGCCTGAACGACATCAGAGCAATGGGGAACGGATCCCATGCAGGGCTGTGGGCAGAGAGGTGCTGGAGGGATTTCAGGAGCCTGGAGTCCAGCCTCACCTTGCCTCTCCAGAGACTCTCTCCCGTGCTGGACCAAGCTCTTGATCCCATTGACACCCATTGTTCTCAGGAGAGACCAAAGCATGGCGGTCGTGCCCCTGTCCTGGCTGAGAAGGTCCCAGACCTCGAGCGCCAGCTTGTCCCCCTGCCGAGCGAGCCAGGTGCCTGCGCCCACGTCGAAGCTGATGAAGTCCTCGCCGTTCATCCCGGCGTCACAGAACTGAGTCGAGGAGCCGTTGGGGTGGAGCTCGCAGGCAGGGGAGAACTGGGCAACAAAGGGGTCTGGAGCAGGGAGGGCAGGGGGATGAGGAGGGGCGCCCGGAAGGTCACCGGGGGCAGGGAAGGGGGCAGAAATAGAGATGGAGGAAGACATAATGTCAGGTGCCATGAGGACGTTGGGCCACACGACGCGGCGGGACCGTGGGGCGGCCCTGGCTGGAGTTCAGGGCACGTTGCAGTTTCTGTGTAAAGCTCATTTTTCACGTGCAGTCAGACTGGCTCGAAAATCGCGGCGAGATGTCGGGGCCTGAGGCAGAGGTTGTGGTGCTAATCTGGGGTCCCTTGGCCATGGGTTCCTGAGACACAGACCCCCGCCCAAATGACCTGCTTTTCAAATCTAGAGCTTTTTTGAAAGTTATTTGTGCTGCTCAGAGGAAAACTGTGGCCCTGAGCCTCGATAAACGTACATCCCTGGGCTCCCCGGAGCGGGGCTCCGCACCGGTAGCAAGGACAGGTTTGGCTTCCCAACGCAACGTTATGCAAGTCCCCGGGCCGTGGTTCTGCGTGTGGAGCGGTGGCGCACCTGTGCCCACAGAGAGGTCACCCCTCTGCGAGCGATTGTTTCCTCAGCAGCACCTCAGGGCGACCCCCCGCGTCAGACACTCGCTCAGCGGGAGAGGCAGCAACCTCCGAGCCCCGGGAGGAGCCGTCCGCGCCCTGTCACCGAGAGGGTCCTGCGCCTGTGAGCTGTGAGGGCAGGCCGGCTCTCCCGCTGTCGTGAAACGCACCTAGCTCTGCCCCAGCAAGGTGCTGGGGGGACTTTGTGGTGCTCATTTGGGGGCAGGTGGTTAAGGGGTTCCTGAGAGAAAGTCTCCCCGGGGGACCTTAGTGCTCCAGCACAGACCCTGGGCTGAGCAGCTGAGCAGAGGGAGCTGGGTCTGTCCCATGCCCCGGGGCAGCACGGGTTGTGGGGGGAGGCACTATCTTAGCTCTGCATTTCCTGCTCGTGGGCTGGGTGTTTCGTGGCTCGCAGAGGTGTCAGTTTTCAACGTTCAGGGAGGACAGGTGGCACCGTGAGCAGCCGACACGCTCCTTCCACAAAGGCCTTCGGTAGGACACGTGGCCACGAGCTGGGTCAGGGGCTGGGACACGGGGCCTTTCCCCTCTAGGGTGCGCAGGCTACAATCTGGCCCCAGAGCTGGGGGACTGGCTCGGTGGGGTGGAGAATGGGACACGGGGTGTTTCCCCTCTAGGGTGGGCAGGCAGGTGGAGCAGGTCGGAGTGTGGGGGCATGCACTTTTCCGGGGCCCCCCAATTGGCCAGGGCCCCGGGCATGGGCCCCATTTGCCCATTGGCTAATCCGCCACTGGCCCCAGAGTGCGGGGACTGGCTAGTTCAGTGGTGCGAGAAAAGGCATACACGGCCTTTCCCCTTTAGGGGGTCCCCGCTCCAATCTGGCCCCAAGGCAGGAGACTGGCTGGCTTGGGGGGGTCAGGGAATGGCCAATCAAGTGGCATCATATTTGTCACCCTGTCAGGACCCACTCAGTCGCTGCTGTGAGTGTGTCAGTTCTCAGCTCCCTGCTGGGTTTGGGGAGTGACCCCCTCAGACCGCGCCATACTCACAGCCCTCTCCTGCATCCTTAACCGCTTTGTTCATCAGACGGATGAAGCTGGACTGGTAGCGATGGATCAGCAGCTCCAGGTCCTGCCACTGCTTCGGGGTCAGGCCCGCTGGGCCCAGGGCTGCAGGAAGCGGATCTTGCAGGGGCTGCAGTCCAGGGAGTGGGTCTCCAGGTCGCCCAGCAGGGCCTTCAGCTCCATGTCCGCGGAGCTGGCGCTGGGGAAGACGATGGTTTGGAGCAGCTGGAGGGTGAGAGACGCTGGGGGTGGGGGGTGGGAAGGAAAGGGGAGGACGGAGCAGGGTGAGGAACAAGATGAATCAGTGCCAGTCTCCTGAGCACCCCTCATCCCTGGCATCAGGTCTCTCCCTGCTGAACCCATCTCCCCCTGCACCCCACAAGCCCAGCATGGTGCTGCCCCACTCTGACCCTACGATGACATCCCCTACCCCCCTGTAGCGAAAAGGTCCAGGTGGGGGGGTCCCCACTTACCAGCCAGGGCCCCCAAGCCCAGGAGAGGAGCAGAGGCATAGCCTCCTGGCAGGGGACCTGAGCTGGGCTGGGGAGCAGGACGCGGGGCTGGGGTCACCCACATGTTCTCGGTTCTGCTCCGGGCCACACATCTCAGCAAACTTCTGCATTTCTCTGGCTCTGCTCGGAGGCGGCCCCCCCCCCACCCAGCCCTGGGCCAGTCAGGGCAGGAGCAGATGGGGGATCCCCCCCTTGCGCCAGGTTTCAGAACCAGGCCCTGTCCCAGGCTCACCTCAAGGACGTGAGAGCAGGAAGGGCGGGGGGTGTATTGCTGCTCCCAGCACGGACACCCCAGCACTGTACGGGGCCCAGCACCCCCTCCTGAGTCCCTGCCCCCCTCCGGAGCAGGCCGGAGACCCACCAGATCGGGGCTACGGCCCCAGCTCGGGAGCAGGCAGTGGGAGGACCCATTGGGGGCCAGATCCCCGCGGGGTCTCACTCTTCCTCCAGGGGAAGCTCCATGGCTTCCCCACCCCCGAGGCTGGACATCTGGGCCTGCAGCCCCCCTGCTCCCCGCATGTGCCCCGAGCTCTGAAGCTCTCCCACCTCCCCAGTCCTGGGGAAATGCCACTCGGCCCCCGCGGAGGGGCAGGGACGTGCAGATCTCTGGGGGGCGGTGGGGGCTAGGTGTCCCCGTCCGGATCTGCCATTGTCTTCTCAAGAGCTCCGTTGATCTGGGGCCTAAGATCCGGACAGCCAGGGACCACCCCCACCTGTGCCTTAGCCTTGTCCGAGAGCAAACGGTCTCCCCCCCCGGAGACCCGGCCCCCCGGCCGGCCCCTTCTCCCCACGCACACTGGGATGGGGAGGGCGTGGGGGGGATCCCACCGGTGCCCCACCCTGTCACTGGTGGGGGCGCCCCCAGACCCCCTCCGCCAGTAACACGGCCGTCGGCCTCGACTGGCCGCGGCGGGCGTTGGCCCCGCCATTGGCTGGGGGGACCCTGGGGCTCCCACGGGAGCGGGGGGGGCACGGCAGCGCGCCCCCACCTCCCACTGTCTTGGCGATGCCCATGAGTCGCCCCGCCCCCAACGTCTCCCCCACTGCGAACCCCAAACTCCTCAAGACCCCAACGGGGGGGGAGTCAGAGAAGGGGGACAGAAGGGAGGGGACCGGGAGAGAGAAGGGGGGGAAGAGACGGGTGGGTGGAGGGAGGGCAGGACCCCCAGCCTCCCTCCCTGCTCGTTCGCCCCCCCTTGCCAATAGCCCCTCCCCTTGCCAATAGCCCCTCCCCTCCCATTAGCCCCTCCCTCCCCCTTCCAATAGCCCCTCCCTCTCCCTCCCCCATTAGCCCTTCCCACTCCCTCCCCTCATCCGTTCTCCTTTCCTGGTTCTTCCTCCCTTAAAGCCGGGCAGCCAATCAAGAAGCGTCGTCCTTTAATGCGTCACTAGTTGCCGGGCAGAGTCAGCCGAACAGACGCAGGGAGGAGGGGGGAAAAGGGCGGGAAATGGGCGGTGAGTCGGCGCGAGGCGCCGACGACCCCTGTGAGGGGAGGAGGGGCCAACTGTCACCTGAGGGGAGCATGGGGGAGGGGGAGTCCTCTCCCCCACACTCCCTCCCATCAGCCCCGCCCACTCCATGGCCCCTCCTCCCCCTGCCTCTCTCAGATCCCGCCTCCTCTCTTTCCCCTCCCTCCCCCTCAGGCCGGGCGACCAATCAGAAGGTATCACCGCATTGCTCGTCACTAGTTGCCAGGCAGAGCGCCCCTGAGCAGGGGAGCGGGAGGGAGCGCAGGGCCCTCCCCAGGGTTTATTGTAGGGTCGCCCAAAGGTAGAAAAGGCTCCAGCGACCCAGAGTGTCCATGAGGCTCCATGGCTGCGGCTTGGAGCAGCCAGCTGTGGCCCCCGCGGGGGGAGTCAGCCCCGGGGAGCACAAACAGGATCTGGCCCAGGAGCTGACGAGAGCCGACCCGCTCAGGACCGGCCACCGCCATCTCGGGACACGACCTCCCGGGGGGGACTCCACAGCCGCCCCGCCGGAGCGCGGCATTGCCGAAAGGGGACCTCCACGGAAACCAGGGCGCGCGCTCGACGGGAACGGAAAGGGCCAGCCCCAGGCCGAGATGCGGCAAGCTGCTCGCAAACTTTCAAAACGCCGGAAGGGCGGCTCCCGTTCGACGTGTGCCCCAAAGCAAAACCATACGAAGAGGCCCAACACAGAGCCACCGTGGCTAGCTGACAAAGGGAAGGAAGCCGTGAGAGGCAAAAAGGCCTCCTTTAAAAGTGGTCGTGAAATCCCAGGGAGGAAAACAGAAAGGAGCATAAACTCTGGCAAGTGAAGTGTAAAAGTATGATTAGGGAGGTCAAAAAAGAATGTGAAGAGCAACTAGCCAAAGACTCAAAAACTAACAGCAAAAATTGTTTTAAGTAGAAAGGGAGGCAACCAATCAGTGGGGCCAATGGACAATCGAGGAGCTAAAGGAGCACTCAAGGACGACAAGGCCATTGCAGAAAAGCTAAATGAATCCTTTGCATCGGTCTGCACTGCAGAAGATGTGAGGGAGATCCCCACGCCTGAGCCATTCTTGTTAGGTGACAAATCTGAGGAACTGTCCCAGATTGAGGTGTCATTAGAGGAGGTTTGGGAACAAAGTGATAAACTAAACAGCAATAAGTCACCAGCACCAGATGGTATCACCCAAGAGTTCTGTAGGAACTCAGATGTGAAGTTGCAGAACGACGAACTGTGGTATGGGTAGCCTATCGTTTAAATCTGCTTCTGTGCCAGATGGCTGGAGAATAGCTAACGTGACACCAATTTTTAAAAAGGCTCCAGAGGTGATCCTGGCAATTACAGGCCAGGAAACCTAACTTCAGTGCCGGGCAACCTAGCTGAAACTTTAGTCAAGAACAGAATTATCAGACGCCTAGATGAACACAAGATGTTGTGTTTAAGCAGTTTTTGTAAGGGGAAATCATGCCTCACCAATCTACTAGAATTCTTTGAGGGGGTCAACAAGCATGTGGACAAGGGGGATCCAGTGGATATAGTGTACTTGGACTTTCAGAAGGCCTTTGACAAGGTCTCTCACCAAAGGCTCTTAAGCAAAGTAAGCGGACATGGGATAAGAGGGAAGGTCCTCTCATGGATCGGTAACTGGTTAAAAGACAGGAAACAAAGGGTAGGAATAAACGGTCAGTTTTCAGAATGGAGAGAGGTAACTAGTGGTGTCCCCCAGGGGTCTGTACTGGGGCCGGTACCATTCAACATATTCATAAATGATCTGAAAAAAGGGGTAAACAGTGAGGTTAAGTTTAGAAGGATTAAGTTTAGAAGTGTGTGCAACAAGAGTGATGTAGTGGTGGGAGTCTGCTATAGACCACCGGACCAGGGGGATGAGGTAGATGAGGCTTTCTTCCGGCAGCTCACGGAAGCTACTAGATCGCATGCCCTGATTCTCATGGGTGACTTTAATTTTCCTGATATCTGCTGGGAGAGCAATACAGCGGTGCATAGACAATCCAGGAAGTTTTTGGAAAGCGTAGGGGACAATTTCCTGGCGCAAGTGCTAGAGGAGCCAACTAGGGGGGGCGCTTTTCTTGACCTGCTGCTCACAAACCGGGTAGAATTAGTGGGGGAAGCAAAAGTGGATGGGAATCTGGGAGGCAGTGACCATGAGTTGGTTGAGTTCAGGATCCTGACACAGGGAAGAAAGGTAAGCAGCACGATACGGACCCTGGACTTCAGGAAAGCAGACTTCGACTCCCTCAGGGAACGGATGGCCAGGATCCCCTGGGGGACTAACTTGAAGGGGAAAGGAGTCCAGGAGAGCTGGCTGTATTTCAAGGAATCCCTGTTGAGGTTACAGGGACAAACCATCCCGATGAGTCGAAAGAATAGTAAATATGGCAGGCGACCAGCTTGGCTTAATGGTGAAATCTTAGCGGATCTTAAACATAAAAAAGAAGCTTACAAGAAGTGGAAGGTTGGACATATGACCAGGGAAGAGTATAAAAATATTGCTCGGGCATGTAGGAATGTTATCAGGAGGGCCAAATCGCACCTGGAGCTGCAGCTAGCCAGAGATGTCAAGAGTAACAAGAAGGGTTTCTTCAGGTATGTTGGCAACAAGAAGAAAGCCAAGGAAAGTGTGGGCCCCTTACTGAATAAGGGAGGCAAACTAGTGACAGAGGATGTGGAAAAAGCTAATGTACTCAATGCTTTTTTTGCCTCTGTTTTCACTAACAAGGTCAGCTCCCAGACTGCTACGCTGGGCATCACAAAATGGGGAAGAGATGGCCAGCCCTCTGTGGAGATAGAGGTGGTTAGGGACTATTTAGAAAAGCTGGACGTGCACAAGTCCATGGGGCCGGACGAGTTGCATCCGAGAGTGCTGAAGGAATTGGCGGCTGTGATTGCAGAGCCATTGGCCATTATCTTTGAAAACTCATGGCAAACCGGGGAAGTCCCGGATGACTGGAAAAAGGCTAATGTAGTGCCAATCTTTAAAAAAGGGAAGAAGGAGGATCCTGGGAACTACAGGCCAGTCAGCCTCACTTCAGTCCCTGGAAAAATCATGGAGCAGGTCCTCAAAGAATCAATCCTGAAGCACTTGCAAGAGAGGAAAGTGATCAGGAACAGCCAGCATGGATTCACCAAGGGAAGGTCATGCCTGACTAATCTAATCGCCTTTTATGATGAGATTACTGGTTCTGTGGATGAAGGGAAAGCAGTGGATGTATTGTTTCTTGACTTTAGCAAAGCTTTTGACACGGTCTCCCACAGTATTCTTGTCAGCAAGTTAAGGAAGTATGGGCTGGATGAATGCACTACAAGGTAGGTAGAAAGCTGGCTAGATTGTCGGGCTCAACGGGTAGTGATCAATGGCTCCATATCTAGTTGGCAGCCGGTATCAAGTGGAGTACCCCAAGGGTCGGTCCTGGGGCCGGTTTTGTTCAATATCTTCATAAATGATCTGGAGGATGGTGTGGATTGCACTCTCAGCAAATTTGCGGATGATACTAAACTGGGAGGAGTGGTGGATACGCTGGAGGGGAAGGATAGGATACAGAAAGACCTAGACAAATTGGAGGATTGGGCCAAAAGAAATCTGATGAGGTTCAATAAGGATAAGTGCAGGGTCCTGCACTTAGGACGGAAGAACCCAATGCACAGCTACAGACTAGGGACCGAATGGCTAGGCAGCAGTTCTGCGGAAAAGGACCTAGGGGTGACAGTGGACGAGAAGCTGGATATGAGTCAGCAGTGTGCCCTCGTTGCCAAGAAGGCCAATGGCATTTTGGGATGTATAAGTAGGGGCATAGCGAGCAGATCGAGGGACGTGATCGTTCCCCTCTATTCGACATTGGTGAGGCCTCATCTGGAGTACTGTGTCCAGTTTTGGGCCCCACACTTCAAGAAGGATGTGGATAAATTGGAGAGAGTCCAGCGAAGGGCAACAAAAATGATTAGGGGACTGGAACACATGAGTTATGAGGAGAGGCTGAGGGAGCTGGGATTGTTTAGTCTGCTGAAGAGAAGAATGAGGGGGGATTTGATAGCTGCTTTCAACTACCTGAGAGGGGGTTCCAAAGAGGATGGCTCTAGACTGTTCTCAATGGTAGCAGATGACAGAACGAGGAGTAATGGTCTCAAGTTGCAGTGGGGGAGGTTTAGATTGGATATTAGGAAAAACTTTTTCACTAAGAGGGTGGTGAAACACTGGAATGCGTTACTTAGGGAGGTGGTAGAATCTCCTTCCTTAGAGGTTTTTAAGGTCAGGCTTGACAAAGCCCTGGCTGGGATGATTTAACTGGGAATTGGTCCTGCTTTGAGCAGGGGGTTGGACTAGATGACCTTCTGGGGTCCCTTCCAACCCTGATATTCTATGATTCTATGATTCTAGGTGGCAAAATTTGCAGACAATACAAAATTACTCAAGATAAGTCCAAAGCAGACTGCAAAGAATTACAAAGAGATCTCTCAAAACTGGGTGATTGGGCAACAAACTGGCAGATGAAATTCAGCGTTGATAAATGCAAAGCAACGCACGTTGGAAAACATAATTCCAACCATGTATACAAAATGATGGGGTCTAAATTAGCTGTTACCACTCAGGAAGGAGATCTTGGAGTCATTGTGGAGAGTTCTGTGGAAACATCCATTCCATGTGCAGCGGCAGCCAAAAAAGCGAACAGAATGTTGGAAATCATGAAGAAAGGGATAGATAACAAAATAGAAAATATCATACTGCCTCTATATAATTCCATGGTACACCCACGTCTTGAATACTGCGCACAGATCTGGTCACCCCATCTCAAAAAAGATCTATTGGAATTGTAAAAGGTACAGAAAAGGGCAACAAAAATTATTAGGGGTATGGAACGGCTTCCATATGAGGAGAGATTGAAAAGACTGGGGCTTTTCAACTTGGGAAAGAGGTGATGAAGTGGGGATATGATTGAGGTTTATAAAATCATGATGGGTGTGGAGAAAACAAATCAAGTGTTATTTACTCCTTCTCATAACACAAGAACAAGGGGTCACCCAATGAAATGAATCAGCAGCAGGTTTAAGACAAACAAAAGGAAATATTTTCTCACACAACACACAGTTAACCTGTGGAACTCCTTGCCAGAGGATGTTGTGAAGGCCAAGACTATAACAGGGTTCAAAAAAGAACTAGATAAGGATGGGTATATCAATGGCTATTAGCCAGGATGGGCAGGGACGCAACCCCATGATCTGGGTGTCCTTAGCCTCTGACTGTCAGAAGCTGGGAATGAGCGACAGGGGATGGATCACTTGATCATTCCCTGTTCTGTTCATTCCCTCTGGGCACCTGGCCCTGGCCACTGTCGGCAGACAGGATACTGGGCTAGATGGGTTTCAGAGTAGCAGCCGTGTTAGTCTGTATCGGTCTGACCCAATATGGCTGTTCTTATGCTCTTCAGCTCTCATGTGTGCCAGGGCTGTGGTCACATGGCTTTGTTATTTGGCATTGCTCATGAGTGCCAGGGCTGCAGTCATTTAGGATTTGTTATCGGCCACAGTTTAGCCCCAATGTCGGGGGCGGCTGTTCTATGGGGCGGGGACACCTGGTCACTGTTTGGGGAGACATCCCTGAATTGCTCTGTTCCTTTCCCTAGTTCAGCCCCAGAGCGGAAGCTGCTTTTCGCCCCAGATTCATCCCTTGGGGGTCGGGCTCTTCTCTAAACCCCAACGCTGGAGTCAGGGCAGGGTCTGGGCGTTGGGCCCTGCCCCGCACAGGGTCCCCTATTTCCTTCAGCCCAGAGCAAGTGAGCAGACGATTACCCCCTGCAGCAGGGGGCACGGTCCCCTTGGGGTGACCCCCCCCTTCACGACACCCCCACTGGGCCATGTGATGGAGGGAAGGGGGTCGGGCAGTGGCAGCCGCAGCCTCTGCACAGAGGAAAGGGCCGCAGGCTGATGGCGCAGGTGGCCAGTCCTGGACAAACCGTCGTGAACCTTAGGCGTTCGTTGTGCTCACAGGCAGGCGTCTCTGTCGCGCCGGGGGACGCTCTGTGACGTTGCCGAGGACGAGACCCGACTGATGGGAGCTCACGGGACCCTTTGAACCCATGGGAGCGTTTTAAAGGGCGGTGGGTTTCCCAGGGGGTCCCTAGGGAGAGGTGGAGGTCAACTCCCCTGAGGCAGCAAGAAGTCAGCCTGCCCCGCTTCGCAAGCAGGAGGGGACGGTGCTCTGCGGCTCGCCTGGCACACCAGGGCAGGCGTGGAGACCCAGACTGGCCAGGGGACGGAGACTCGCAGCCCACAGGGTCCGTGTGCTGGGCCTGGGACCACAGAAAACCCCTGGGTGGGGTTCAAAGGACTGTTCCCGGCCAGGGCCTGGGCGGGAGCTGGGGCATCCTGGCCAAAAGCCACGTCCCGCATCAGTCACTGTTTGCACAGTTTGCTCGTGTGACCCGCCAGTCAGCGTGTGTGTGTGCGCGTGTGCATGGGCGTGGGTGTGTGTGAACATGGGCGTGGGCTCTGTGCCCGGTGCCCAGCGGCCTTGTCTTCCCTGGGACTGCACCCCTGGGCGGTAACTCGAGGTCAGGCCCCATCTCCCCTCTGTAAGGACGAGGCCGGCCGGACCCGCGTCCCCTCTCAGCCAGGGGAGCGGCCGGCCCCGTCGCGGCTGGTTTGTGTCCGGCCAGCGGCCTGTCCCGGGGCCGCACAGGGAGCGCTGAGCTCTCGGGGGCTCTCCCACGGCGGCTGCTTATTCGAAAACGCATTGTCCAAATGGCACTGGGTCGGCTCGCCCAGAGTCCCTGGCATGACTGACGCTGCCTGAGTGTGCCGAGAGCCTGAGCCCGTCTCTGGCGGGGGGGGGGGGGGGGCTGAGCCTGTCTCTGGCGGGGGGGGGGGGGTCTGAGCCCGTAGCTAGGGGGGCTGAGCCCGTCTCTGGCGGGGGGGGGGGTCTGAGCCTGTCTCTGGCAGGGGGCTGAGCCCGTCGCTGGCAGGGGTGGGCTGAGCCCGTCTCTGGCGGGGGGGGGGGCTGAGCCCGTCGCTGGGGGGGCTGATTTCCCCCCGGGGGGGGGCGGCTCTGAACCCAGCAGCTGCAGCATTTCCTGCCGGGCCCGGCAGCAGCAGCCCCCCCGCCGGGAGAGGCGGGTCCGGGGGCGGGTCCGTGCCCCCCCCATCCCGGGGGCCGCTCTCCCCGCCCCCCCGCCCGGGGGTTGGGCTTCCTGGGTCAGCGCCGCGGCTGCATCCGCGCCCGGCCCCGCTGCTGCGCCCGGCCCGGGCGGGGGGAGCCCGGGGGCCGCGCTGGGCTCGAGCCGCCCCTGGGCCGCGCAGCGCCGAGCTCCGCCGGGGGAGCTGCTGAGCCGGGGCCGGCAGGTGCGGGGGGCCGCGGGGGGGGGGCTGGAAGGGGGCGGGCAGGAGGCGATGGGGGCGGGGCGGGGGCGCAAAAGCAGCCCCCACCGGCTGATGGGCACCGGGCAGGGGGGCGACTGAGATCTGAACATCCCACAGTCGCCCCGGCCCTCCCACCCTGGGTGCCTGTAGCGGGGACAGTGAGACCCCAGGAGCTGTGGTACCCCCCGGGGTGGTATCCACCTCCCTGCCCCCCGGGCCCATCCCGCCCGGTATCCTGCCCCCTCCCTGCCCCCCGGGTCAGCCCCACGGGCCCATCCCACCTGGTATCCTGCCCCCTCCTTGCCCCCCAGGTCAGCCCCATGGGCCCATCCCGCCCAGTATCCTACCCCCTCCCTTCCCCCCGGGTCACCCCCATGAGCCCATCCAGCCCGGTATCCTGCCCCCCACCCGCCCCCTGGGTTATCCAATTTGGGCCCATCCCGTCCCCTCCCTGCCCCCACTGGTCAGCCCCACGGACCCATCCCACCCGGTATCCTGCCTCTTCCCTGCCCCTGGGGTCAGACCACATCCCCCGGAGCAGGCCGGGGCTGGGTTCAAATCACGGGACGTTCCTTGTAGCAGATATTCTCCTGCCGCGTCGCACGCCCTGATCTCGCCTGTCCCCGTCCCCCGAGCAGGATTTCTCATCCCTGGGCCGGACGCACTCTCCCGGATGGAGCCAGGGGCAGAGCTGCGGGTCCCAGGCCCCCGGGGTGCTGAGGAGACCCCGAGAGACGCCCGCACAGGTGAGGATTCGCTTAAACCGGCTCGGAAATTCACCCCTGGCTTCCTGGAGCCTTTAAATCTGGGCAGTAACAGCAGGGGATTTACAGGCCTTCCAGGTGCTGCCCCTGCCGTGTGTCATGGTTTCACAACCTCCATTTTGTGTGTGTTCCTCGCTATGTTTAGAGGTCTGTCTCCATCCCTGGATGCCTGCCTGCCTGTCGGTCCATAGACCTCTGTCCCTGGGTGCTGGAGGCTCATGTTTTCAGGCCTAGAAGTGCCGGGATCAGGCCCCACAGACAGCCCGGCTGGGGCCTGACTTCACCAGCGGGTCCGTCTGTCCCGCTCTCTAGATCTTACTCTGTCCCTCTGCCCCCGCCAGACCCAGGGCTGCCCCGGCTGCTGCTCAGAGCTTGCCCAGCAGCAGCAGAGAGAAACCAGCCTGGTTCAGGTCAGCCTGCCAGCAGCTCCGAAACTGGCTGCTCTGGTCAGTTTCCCTTTGCCCCCTTGGGAGGCTCTGAGCAGCAGCAGAGGCCCCGGGTCTGCCATCTGCAGGCTGGTTTGTTCCCTTTTCCGAGCAGGGACGGCTCGGGTCTGATTCCCTCTCTCTGTCCCAGAGGTCTCCAGGTGGTTCACAGACAGACCTGGGACCGAGCCGAGAACTTTGCTTCGCTGAAGAAGGGGAAAAAACCCATCTGCCCTGGGAAAACCATGAAATATGGAGCAAAAGGACTGCACAGTGAGGAGTGCATGAGAGGAAAGGACACGCGGAAGGCTGTGCAGAGCGCACTCGGCAGGGCCGTTAGCCCTGGGTTACCCTGCGGCTTTACAATAAAACCCCAAGCAGAATCAAATAATTAATAAACCCTGCTTGGGGGGTGGATTTCCAGCACCGTGAGAATACTGACGCGATCCTTTCCCCCGCAGGTGATGGGCCAGCAAGCGAGGCCGAGGAGGGGGATCCCCAGCCGGAAGGGCGCGAGCGAGCGGAGCCAGACGGGAAGTTACCGGGACAACCCCAGGAGAGCGGTGGGCCGAGCCCCGGAGCCTGCGAGAGCCGACGGGGAAACCCTGCTGGGGAGAGAGACGCGGAGCCGGCTCTCCGCAGGGCAGGTGACAGGGGGCTGGAGGAATCCACGATCCGGGCAGCAGGGACGCCCCGCAGCTCTGCCCTGGCAGCCCAGCCGCGGATCTGCGCCCCAGCGAGACCGCCCGGGCCCCCGGCCCCTGGGCGGCAGTACGCCTGCCCCGAGTGCGGCAAGGCCTTCGGGCAGAGCTCCCACCTGACGCAGCACCTGCGGATCCACACGGGCGAGCGGCCCTACGTCTGCCCCGACTGCGGCCGGGCCTTCAGCGCCAGCTCCAACTTCCTGGCGCACCGGCGGGTGCACACGGGCGAGAAGCCCTACGACTGCGCCGTATGCGGACGCAGCTTCCGCGCCGGCTCCACCCTGCAGCGGCACCGGCGGCTGCACACCGGCGAGCGCCCCTACCGCTGCGGCCACTGCGGCCGCACCTTCTCCCAGAGCTCCTCGCTGGCCAAGCACCGGCGGCTGCACACCGGCGAGCGCCCCTACCGCTGCAGCCAGTGTGGGGAGGCCTTCGCCGTGCAGTCGGGGCTGGCCGCCCACCGGAGCCGGCACACGGGCGAGCGCCCCTTCGCCTGCCCCGACTGCGGCAAGGGCTTCCGGCGCAGCTCCGACCTGGTGCAGCACCAGCGGGCCCACACGGGCGAGCGGCCCTTCCGCTGCGGCCAGTGCGGCGCTGGCTTCAGCCTGGCCTCCACCCTGGTCAACCACCAGCGGAGACACACCGGGGAGCGGCCCTACCCCTGCCAGCTCTGCGGGGCCAGCTTCGCCCGCAGCTCCACCCTGGCCCGCCATCGGCGGGGCCATGGGCCCCAGGGCACCGGGCCGGGCGGGAGTCCGGAGCCACAGCCCACGCCCCCAGGGGAGGAGCCTGCCCCCCAGCCAGGCCCCCTGAGTCAGGGCTCCAGCCCCGCGCCCCAGCAGGACTCCCTGGGTCACAGCTCAGAGGACGCCCTCGCCCAGCAGGGCCCTCTGGGTAACAGCTCCGATCCTGACCCCCAGCAGGGTCCCCTGAGCCAGGCTCCCGTGGGTCATGGGTCAAATTCCACCCCTGACCAAGGTCCCCTGAGCCAGGCCCCCGTGGGTCATGGGTCAGATCCCACCCACCAGCAAGGTCCCCTGAGCCAGGCCCCCACGGATCACGGGTCACATCCCGCCCCCCAGCAGAACCCCCTGAGTCAGGGCACCATAGATCAGGGTCCGGCCCCCCAGCCTGGCACTGTGGGTCATGGCTCAGATCCTGCCCCCCAGCAGGGCCCCCCGGCTCGGCCCCCCGCCCTCCAGCCGGGCGAGCGCCCCTACCCCTGCCTGGTGTGCGGGAAGCGCTTCTCCCGCAGCTCCAACCTGGTGGCCCACCAGCGGATCCACGCGGGCGACAAGCCCTTCCGGTGCCCGGAGTGCGGGCGGGGCTTCCTGCGGGGCTCCAACCTGCGGACGCACCGGCGGCTGCACACGGGCGAGCGCCCCTACCCCTGCCCCGAGTGCGGCAAGCGCTTCGGGGACACCTCCGTGCTGGTCAAGCACCAGCGCATCCACACGGGCGAGCGCCCGCACCGCTGCCCCGACTGTCCCCGCCGCTTCAGCCAGGCCTCGGACCTGGTGGCCCACCGGCGGGTGCACACGGGCGAGAAGCCCTACGCCTGCGCCGAGTGCGGGCGCAGCTTCAGCCGCAGCTCCAACCTGCGGACGCACCGGCGGCTGCACCGCGGCGAGCGCCCCTACCCCTGCCCCCAGTGCGGCAAGCGCTTCGGCCAGAGCTCGGACCTGCTGCAGCACCAGCGGACCCACACCGGCGAGCGCCCCTTCGCCTGCGCCCAGTGCGGCAAGGCCTTCAGCAAGGGCTCCACCCTCACCGGGCACCAGCGCACCCACACGGGCGAGCGGCCCTTCGCCTGCACCGCCTGCGGCAAGCGCTTCCGGCACAGCTCCCACCTGACGGCCCACCTGCGGGTGCATGCCCGGGCGCGGCCACTCTGAGCCGGGGACCCCGGCCCTGCCCCGGCCCCCACGGGACAGCCCGTCTCTGTGCACGCCCGGGTGCGGCCACTCTGAGCCGGAGACCCCGGCCCTGCCCCGGCCCCCACGGGACGGCCCGTCTCTGTGCACGCCCAGGCACGGCCGCGCTGAGCAGGGGGAGCCCTGGGGGGTGCCATGTACTGCCCCACAGCCACATCAGAGGCTGCATGCTCAGGAGAGGTAGCCCTGAGACACGGCTCCCCCCAGCTCTGCGAGGGGAGTGTGGTCTGGTGGGTTAGTGTGGGGGGGGTTGGGAGCTGGGAGCCAGGACTCCTGGGTTCTCTCCCTGGCTCTTTTATATTCTCCAATCTCTGAGTATAGCCTGGCTCTTAGGACTGATTTCCCCCTCCTCTCTTGCATTTCCCTCTGTCCCTGAGGACCTGACCCCTGGGATTTGTCCCTGCTGGGGCTGCCCCCCAGCTCTGCCTTTGCTGCCTAGGGCTGCTTTTAGAGATCACAGGCTCCAGGCCGGAGGCGGACGCGGATGCTACGGGGGGAGTCAGGTTAGCATGGCAAGTCTCAGCTTGCAGTTAAGAAATGGTGTCAGCTCTCTTGGACGTGGAGGAAAGCACCAAAGTGGGACCCTGGCGCCTGCCTGAGTGTGCAGAGAGCCTGAGCCCGTCACTGCGAGGGGCGTGAGCTCCTCCGTTCACCCCCTGCCCGGGGCACCCAGCGCACGGGGAAGTAGCAGGAACATGCGGCTTCCCCTGTTCCCGTTGGGTGATGCGCGGGAGGTCCCAGGGGTGGGGAGCAGGGGCCGGCTGGACCAAACGGTTTGCAGAGAGCGGCTGGGTGCGCAGGCCCCTGTGTGGTGATTCGTGCCCACCACCACGGCAGCTCGTTCCCCTCCAGGGAGTCCTCGCAAAGGGGGGTTTCCCACCGGTGGGGGGCGGGGGGGATTCTGTTGATTTTCCCCCTTGTGTAAATAAATGTGATGAGCAGAATTCAGCTCCAGATTGGTGACTCCTGATTGGTGATCACGGAGCCTGTCTCAGGCAGGGAATGGGGCAGGGGCCTCTCCCTCTACGGGGCGCCGGCTCCCCTCCGGCCCCACGGCGGGACTCGCTGGCTCAGAGGGGTGGGGAATGGGGCCCGGGGCCTGTCCCTCTAGGGGGCTCCGGCCCCAGGGCAGGGACTGGATGGCTCAGGGGGCAGGGAAGGGGGCACGGGGCCTGTCCCCTGTGGGGTGCTGGTTCTGTGAATCTGCCAGCCCCTTGGGTTTTGCTGCTGGGACTTGTTTCCCCGCCAAGCCCTGGCGCTGGGTTGAGGCACTGACGCGGGTGACGATTACAAGCGATTCTTTATGATCCATATTGCAGCAGTGCCCCGGTCTCAGGTGCTCGGTGCTGTACGTCCAGCGAAGGAAGGGGGTGATTTCCCACCGCACTCCCTGCCTTCTGCAGCCATTAGCTTCCTGCCTTGGCGTGGCGGCCCTGGGCGGGACAGCGCGGGGGGCGCGGAGGAGAGACAGTGAACCCAGGGGTCAGCAGAGCTGGGGGGTGGAAATCAATTGGCAATCAGTGGGGCCCCCAGGTTCTCAAGGTCCAGGCGACATTTCAGAATCAAGTCACGTGTCCAGCCCGGGGACGCGATCTGCCTCCGGCCACTAGGAACCCAGGCGTCCAGGTGGAAAATCTGGCCTGGGGGAAAAACAAGGGAATGAGCGAGAACAGAGCGGAGGGTGGAGGGGAAACCTGCTGCTGTCAGTAAAGGAATTAGCTGGGGGAAGGGCGGGGGTCACACCCCCATAGAAACCCCACTGGGTAGCGGGAGGGGCTGACTGGTTGTACTGGGAGCGGGGGAAGTCCAGGGCTGGAGTTCCCGCTGTGGCCACGGGGTGGCGGATCTGCTCCCCAGAAATCCCCAGGTGCGGATCGGGGGCTCTGATGGGGGGCAGGGGGTCACTGCACTTACCAGACCCACAGGATCAGCTGTCTTCTGGCAGCTCTTCCTCTGGGGGAGGAGAAGCGGGGCAGGTTAGTCAGGGCACGGAGGTGGGGGGTGCATCCCCCCCAGCCCGGTATCAAGGGGGTTCGTGGGGGGGTATGCCCCAAGGGGGAAGGGGGCACAGGGGGCGCTCCCAGGGGTATGTCTCCCATGGGGAAGGGGGTGCGTGGGGTTGGGGCAGGGAACTCCTGGGGTGAAGCCCCAGGGGGAGGGGGCCCCAGGAGGTGTATCACCAACAGGGAGGGGGCAGGGGGAAGCCGGGGGGGCTTCTGGAGGGGGTTTCCCTGTGGGGAAGGGGAGCCCAGGGGCATACCCCCTTGGGGAGGGACAGGAAGGAGGCCCTGGGGGCAGGGGGGGGAGACCCCGGGAGCATATCCCCCCCAGGACCCCACTCCCTGTGTAAAGGGGATGCCAGGGTGGGGTCTCTCACCTGAGACGAGGCCCAGTTTGGACTCTCCCAGGCTCCAGCCAGCTGCAAAGACACAAGCGGTGGGTGAGTTCGGGAGACGAGTCGTGACCGTTCTCGGCCCAGCTGAGCCCCCACCCACCCCAGAGCCGGCGCCCGAGCCCCCTGCCCTGCCCCGCTCTTACCTCGCCTCCTCCACAGCAGCAGCAGCCCCCCGGCCAGGCAGGCCAGGCCTCCCAGCGCCCCCAGAGCCGCCCCGGCCACGGTCCCGGGGGAGATGCCCCCTCTGCACGACATGCTCCTGGGGGCTGGGACAGAGCCATGGGGAGAGCGGTTAGAAATTGGGGGGGAGGCTCCCGTCAGTGGGGGACTGGCAGGGCAGTGTGGGGAAGGGGGCAGTGGGGGTCGCTGGGGGGATCCCGGTGGCAGGGCTGCAGGGGGAAGGGGGCAGTGGGGGTCGCTGGGGGGATCCCGGTGGCAGGGCAGTGCGGGGAAGGGGCAGTGGGGGTCGCTGGGGGGATCCCGGTGGCAGGGCAGTGTGGGGAAGGGGGCAGTGGGGGTCGCTGGGGGGATCCCGGTGGCAGGGCTGCAGGGGGAAGGGGGCAGTGGAGGTTGCTGGGGGGATCCCGGTGGCAGGGCTGCAGGGGGAAGGGGGCAGTGGGGGGTCGCTGGGGGGATCCCGGTGGTAGGGCAGTGCGGGGAAGGGGCAGTGGGGGTCGCTGGGAGGATCCCAGTGGCAGGGCAGTGCGGGGAAGGGGCAGTGGGGGTCGCTGGGGGGATCCCGGTGGCAGGGCTGCAGGGGGAAGGGGGCAGTGGGGGTCGCTGGGGGGATCCCGGTGGCAGGGCAGTGCGGGGAAGGGGCAGTGGGGGTCGCTGGGGGGATCCCGGTGGCAGGGCAGTGCGGGGAAGGGGCAGTGGGGGTCGCTGGGGGGATCCCGGTGGCAGGGCAGTGTGGGGGAAGGGGGCAGTGGGGGTCGCTGGGGGGATCCCGGTGGCAGGGCTGCAGGGGGAAGGGGGCAGTGGAGGTCGCTGGGGGGATCCCGGTGGCAGGGCAGTGCGGGGAAGGGGCAGTGGGGGTTGCTGGGGGGATCCCGGTGGCAGGGCTGCAGGGGGAAGGGGGCAGTGGGGGTCGCTGGGGGGATCCCGGTGGCAGGGCTGCAGGGGGAAGGGGGCAGTGGGGGTCGCTGGGGGGATCCCGGTGGTAGGGCAGTGCGGGGAAGGGGCAGTGGGGGTCGCTGGGAGGATCCCAGTGGCAGGGCAGTGCGGGGAAGGGGCAGTGGGGGTCGCTGGGGGGATCCCGGTGGCAGGGCTGCAGGGGGAAGGGGGCAGTGGGGGTCGCTGGGGGGATCCCGGTGGCAGGGCTGCAGGGGGAAGGGGGCAGTGGAGGTTGCTGGGGGGATCCCGGTGGCAGGGCTGCAGGGGGAAGGGGGCAGTGGGGGTCGCTGGGGGGATCCCGGTGGTAGGGCAGTGCGGGGAAGGGGCAGTGGGGGTCGCTGGGAGGATCCCGGTGGCAGGGCAGTGCGGGGAAGGGGCAGTGGGGGTCGCTGGGGGGATCCCGGTGGCAGGGCAGTGCGGGGAAGGGGCAGTGGGGGTCGCTGGGGGGATCCCGGTGGCAGGGCAGTGCGGGGATGGGGCAGTGGGGGTCGCTGGGGGGATCCCGGTGGCAGGGCTGGGGGGCACTGGGGCAGGACTCTTACCCCACGTCGTCTCCAGGGGCGTCTCCAGGGGCATCTCCAGGTCCCCGTGCGAGGCCTGGCACTGCACCCCCTGGGCCTGTCCCTCGGGCACCGGCAGGCGGCTCCGGCGTTGGTAGCTCCCGTCCCCGCTGGGCAGCCCCGCGCCTGCCTCGGCCCCCGGCAGGGTCGCGTTCCCCCGCAGCCAGGACACCTCGATGTCCCGCGTCGGGAACCCCCAGGCCAAGCACTCGAGAGTCAGCCAGCCCGGGCGGCTGGGGGTCGGGCAGGACCAGGCCTGCAACTGGGGGGCGGCTGGGGGAGAGAGAGGGTGAGAGCCCTGATCTGGGGGGTCACCCCAGCCCCTGATCTGTGGGGTCACCCATCCCCCTTCTCCTTGGGGTCACCCCAGCCCCCCTTTCCTTGGGTCACCCCAGCCCCTGATCTGTGGGGTCACTCGTCCCCCCTTACCTTGGGGTCACTCCTGCCCCCAATCTGTGGGGGTCACCCCAACCCCTGAGGTCGCCCCTCCTCCAGATCCTGGAGTTACCCCTCCTCCCGGCCCCCTAATCCATGGGGTGACGACCCCTGCCCAGGTAGGCCCCGTTCCATGGGGTGACTGCCCCCCCGGCCCCGTTCCATGGGGTGGCCCCTCCCCAGCCCCGTTCCATGGGGTGACCTCTCCCCAGCCCCGTTCCATGGGGTGACTGCCCCCCCAGCCCCGTTCCATGGGGTGGCCCCTCCCCAGCCCCGTTCCATGGGGTGACTGCCCCCCCGGCCCCGTTCCATGGGGTGGCTGCCCCCCAGCCCCGTTCCATGGGGTGGCCCCTCCCCAGCCCCGTTCCATGGGGTGACTGCCCCCCCGGCCCCGTTCCATGGGGTGGCCCCTCCCCAGCCCCGTTCCATGGGGTGACTGCCCCCCCGGCCCCGTTCCATGGGGTGGCCCCTCCCCAGCCCCGTTCCATGGGGTGGCTGCCCCCCCCGGCCCCGTTCCATGGGGTGGCTGCCCCCCGGCCCCTACCTGCCCTCCTAGCCCAGGCGCGCCGGCTCCGCAGGAACCGGCCCAGCCACTCCACGCAGGTGTCCCCCAGGTAGTGGTACAGCCGCTCCCCGAACTCGGGCTGGGCATCCCAGCGGCGCCGGGTGGCCTCGGCCCAGGACAGAGCCGCCAGCCAGCGCCGGTTCCCCCGGTCGAACACCACCAAGTCCTGCCCGTCGTAGCCGAATTGGTACCAGCCGCGGACCACGCCCCCGGGCTCCTGCTCGCAGCCCAGCGCCCACTGCAGGGTGTGGCGGCCTGGGGACGGAGCCATGGGTCAGGCCACGGGCCACGGAGAGCTCGGGGGGCATGGGGACCACGGGGGGAACCATGGGTCAGGCCACAGACCACGGGGGGAGCCACGCGCCGGGCCATGGGCGGGGCCATGCACCAGGCCACGGAGAGCTCGTGGGGGCATGGGGACCACAGGGGGAGCCACAGGTCAGGCCATGGGCCACGGGGGGAGCCACGCACCAGGCCACAGGAGGAGCCACGCGCCAGGCCACGGAGAGCTCAGGGGGGCATGGGGACCACGGGGGAGCCATGGGTCAGGCCACAGGCCACGGGGGGACCCACGTGCCAGGCCACAGGGGGGCCATGCACCAGGCCACGGAGAGCTTGTGGGGGCATGGGGACCACGGGGGGAGCCACGCGCCAGGCCATGGGGTCACGGGGGGAGCTACATGCTAGGCCATGGGCCACAGAGGGCTCGGGGGCGCATGGGGACCACGGGGGGAGTCATGGAGCAGGACGATGGGACCCCAGAGGGAGCCACGGGGTTGCGGCCCTGGGGGGTCACAGGGGGAGGCATGGGAAAGGGGGAGAGGTGTGGTTGGAGACGTGGGGAGGGAGTCGGGGGGGATCAGTGGGACACTAGGCAGGATGGGGAGACCCATCTGGAAGCTTTGGAGGGCCATGGAGGGGACGCCACTGGGGACACCAGAAATGGGGGGATAGGGGGGCCTTGGGGGCAGGAGGGGTTTCAAGGGAAATGGGGGCAGAGGGGGGTGGGGAGGCCTTGGGGGGGCAGAGGGGGGATCTGAGGCCACAGAGGGGATTGGGGGCAGTGGGGTGAGAAGTTCCGTGTGGCACAGATGTCTCGGGGTGGGGGGCTGTGGGGGTGGTTGGATCAGGGCGTTGGGGGGCCGGGGGGCCGGCTCACCCTGCGTCTGGTTGGTTCTCTGTTTCAGGATCTCCACGTTGCGCCGGAACCAGTCCTCCTTGGCGGCCCGCGAGACGCCCCCCTGGCGCCAGTACTCGGGGTCCAGCCCGTCGCCCACCCAGGGCTGGGCGGGCACCTTGGCGCGGGCGGCCCGGTCGTAGCCGTCGATGGGCGCCCCGTCCAGCAGCCCGGCCGCCCCGAACTCCAGCAGGCCCGAGGCGTCGTAGGTGCCCACGTAGTGGTAGGCCAGGCTGTGGGGCCCGTCGGAGGCTGCGCCGGGGCGGGAGAGGGGGTGAGTTTGGGGTGGGAACCACCCACCCCGCCTCCCCCTCCAGCACAGTGCCCCCCACCCTGCCCCCTCCAGCACAGCGCCCCCTGCTGAGCCCCCCACCCCACTCCCTGCAGCACAGAGCCCGGCACCGCCCTGGACACCGAGGCCAGCCCGGATTTCCTGGTGGGGTGAGGGTGCCCCCAGCCCCCCGTTCCCTGGAGCTCTCCCCTCCTCACACCCCACTGCTCCGGCCCTGACCCGGGGTGTCCGGCCGTCCCCCCCCCGGGACCCACCTGGCTCGCCCAGTCCTAGTAGGGGCCACAGTGCCAGCCACACCAGCAGCAGGTGTTCCCGGGGCCCCATCCCCGCGGCAGCGATCAGGGACCCAGGCGTCCGGGAGCAGGGCGGGGCAGGAGCCCCCAGCCGGGCGGGGGGATGTGGTGGGCGTCCGTGTCCGGGGAGCTCGGCCCAGCAGGACCCAGCTGAGGTGCCGAGAGTGAAAATGAAAGTGGGTGACGGGCAGGGGAGGAGACTTGGCAGCTCGGATCATTAACCCCCTGTGAGGATGGGACGTGGGGGGTTGGGGGGGAGTGTTGACCTGGGGGTGTACTTGTGGCACCTTAGAGACTAACCAATTTATTTGAGCATGAGCTTTCGTGAGCCACAGCTCACTTCATCAGATGTATACCGTGGAAACTGCAGCAGACTTTATATACACACAGAGAATATGAAACAATACCTCCTCCCACCCCACTGTCCTGCTGGTAATAGCTTATCTAAAGTGATCAACAGGTGGGCCATTTCCAGCACAAATCCAGGTTTTCTCACCCTCCACCCCCCCACACAAATTCACTCTCCTGCTGGTGCTAGCCCATCCAAAGTGACAACTCTTTACATAATCAAGTCGGGCTATTTCCTGCATAGATCCAGGTTTTCTCACATCCCCCCCACCCCCATACACACACAAACTCACTCTCCTGCTGGTAATAGCTCATCTAAACTGACCACTCTCCAAGTTTAAATCCAAGTTAAACCAGAATATCTGGGGGGGGGGGGGGGAGGAAAAACAAGAGGAAACAGGCTACCTTGCATAATGACTTAGCCACTCCCAGTCTCTATTTAAGCCTAAATTAATAGTATCCAATTTGCAAATGAATTCCAATTCAGCAGTTTCTCGCTGGAGTCTGGATTTGAAGTTTTTTTGTTTTAAGATAGCGACCTTCATGTCTGTGATTGCGTGACCAGAGAGATTGAAGTGTTCTCCGACTGGTTTATGAATGTTAGAATTCTTGACATCTGATTTGTGTCCATTTATTCTTTTACGTAGAGACTGTCCAGTTTGACCAACGTACATGGCAGAGGGGCATTGCTGGCACATGATGGCATATATCACATTGGTGGATGTGCAGGTGAACGAGCCTCTGATAGTGTGGCTGATGTTATTAGGCCCTGTGATGGTGTCCCCTGAATAGATATGTGGGCACAATTGGCAACGGGCTTTGTTGCAAGGATAAGTTCCTGGGTTAGTGGTTCTGTTGTGTGGTATGTGGTTGTTGGTGAGTATTTGCTTCAGGTTGCGGGGCTGAAGTTACCTACTACAGGACAGGCCTAACAAAGAAAATAACAGAACGCCACTAGCGGTCACCTTCAGCCCCCAACTAAAACCCCTCCAACGCATTATTAAGGATCTACAACCTATCCTAAAGGATGACCCAACACTCTCACAAGTCTTGGGAGACAGGCCAGTCCTTGCCTACAGACAGCCCCGCAACCTGCTCCCCCAGAAGGACTCAGCTGAGGGGTCCTGGGGGTACCCACAAGCTCTGTTGTGGACTGTGTTCCTGTTGTCCAATAAACCTTCTGTGTTACTGGCTGGCTGAGAGTCTCAGGGAATCCCAGGAAGAGGGGTGCAGGGCCTGGACTCCCCCACACTCCGTGACACCCCACCCTGGCCCTATGCCCGCCGGCAGTGCCAGTGGGGGTTCCCTGGGGGCTGGGCTGCAGGGAGCGGGGCGGGGGGCAGCAGGGGGCTCTGCCCCGGGCAGCCAGGGCTGCCCCATTGCCCCAGGGCGGTGCTAGGGGCTGGGCTGCGGGGGGCGGGGGGGCAGCAGGGGGCTCTCCCCTGGCGGTCAGGGCTGCCCCATTGCCCCAGGGTGGTACTGGGGGGCTGTACTGCGGGGGGCGGGGCAGCAGGGGGCTCTCCCCTGGGGTCAGGGCTGCCCCATTGCCCTAGGGTGGTACTGGGGGGCTGTACTGCGGGGGGCGGGGCAGCAGGGGACACTGTGCCCTGGGCAGTCAGGGCTGCCCCGTTGCCCCAGGGCGGCGCGAGAGGGCTGTGCCGTGGGGAGCAGGGGGGTGACTCAGTGGCTGGGCGGCGAGCGCCGGGATGAGCTCAGGGTTGGAAGCGAAAGGAGCCCGTGAACTTTTGCAGCTGGGCTGGGCGATGGATCCCAGATGTGGCCCGGAGCCGGGCGGCCGGGGGGGTGGGGGGGAAGGAGACCAGCCCTTATCCTGGCTCTCCCTCACGCCCCTGGCCTCCTCCACTGCTCCTGCTCCGTCCTCAGCACCAACCCCCAGCCAGGACTCCTGGGTTCCTCCCCGGCTCTGGGAGTCAAGTGTGGGCCAGGACTCCTGGGTTCTCTCCCAGCTCAGGGAGGGGAGTGGGGGCTGGTGGGTTAGAGCAGCGGGGCTGGGAGCCAGGATGCCTGGGTTCTCTCAGGGAGAGGAGTGGGGTCTAGTGGTTAGAGCAGGGGGAGACTGGGAGCCAGGACGCCTGGGTTCGCTCTGCATGGTGCTCTCCTCAGCAGTGCCCCCTACGGGCAGGCTCCCTGCACGCAGGGGCTCTTGGCCGGCCGGGCGTCCATCACCCAGGGCTGGGTTCCCTGGCCTGAGCCTGCTGGACCGTGCGGGGTTTGGGTGCAGGGCGGCCCGGCCCCCGCGGCTCCGGCCCCGTGATTTACGGCTGCTTCCCATGGAGACGGAATTCTTTTGCAAGGGAGAAAACAAACACACAGACACGCAAGAAACCTCCCTGGGGACCCCGCTCCAGCACATCGGCCTCGGCACCTGCTCGTGCCCGGCTAGACACCCCCACCCCGGGGTCGCTCCCTAGGGCCCCCCGACACGTGCTGACTCACGGTCTGATCAGAGGCTTCATCCAGCAAAACACGCAGATCTGACCCACTAGACCCCCTCCCTTCCCCGAGGCAGGGAGAGAGTCCTGGCTCCCAGCCCCCCCCGCCAGGGAAGAACACAGGAGTCCTGGATCCTGGCTCCCAGCCCCCCCGCCAGGGTAGAACCCGGGAGTCCTGGCTCCCAGCCCCCCCAGCAGGGTAGAACCCAGGAGTCCTGGCTCCCAGCCCCCCCGGCAGGGTAGAACCCGGGAGTCCTGGCTCCCAGCCCCCCCGCCAGGGTAGAACCCGGGAGTCCTGGCTCCCAGCCCCCCCGCCAGGGTAGAACCCAGGAGTCCTGGCTGCCTGGTCCCCGGCTCGGGCTGGATTTGTAGCCAGCCGAATTCTTCCATGTCATTAGAGAAACAACAACAAGGAGGGAGTGACCGTGGGGTGTGGGCCAAGCGTGAGTCACGTTCGCCCCCCTCGCCTCCGTCCATCCGTCCGTCCATCCAGGCCCCCTGTGGCTGCCAGGCCTCCCGCCGGCCGGAACAGCCTGTGATTCCAGATCTGCCCCCGGGGGCCGCTCGGAACGAGCCCTCGGGGGAGGCCAGGGCAGACGCGGGGGCTAGAGAGGGGGAAGGGCTGAATTTCCACCCAGCGACCCCTGCAGGAGACGCAAAGCCGGGACCTGTCCCCTCTAGGGGGCGCCAGCTCCCATCTGCCCCCAGGGCGGGGACTGGCTGGCTCGGGGGGGCGGGGAATGGGGCAGGGGCCTGTCTGTGTTGGTGCTGGCTGGTGGGGGGGTCTCCGGGGGTGACGTCACTTGAGGGACAATACCTGAGCAGGTGACCTGAGCGGGGGGGGGGGGGGCGACACCTTCTGCCCAGGAAGCTGGACAAAGGCTGGGGGAGAGGCTGGAGTGGGGGGGGGGGGCTGGGGGAGGGGCTGGAGTGGGGGGGGCTGGGGGAGGGGCTGGAGGGGGTTCCAGTCTGGAGCTGGCTGTGGAAACGGGGCAGGGGAAGGCCCAGCACCTAGGTCCAGGCTCCCCCCCAAAATGGACCCAGCTGAGGGGTCCTGTTCTCTGCACCTACAAGCTCCGTGTCAGACCATGTCCCTGTCGTCTAATAACCCTTCTGTTTCCCCGGCGGGCTGAGAGTCCCGGGGAATCGCGGGAAGTGGGGGGTGCAGGCCCCTGACTGCCCCACACTCCGTGACACCAGACCCCTGCCTGGCCGCTCCCAACCAGGCATCCCCTCCCAGCCCCCATTAGCCCCCTGGGCCCCTCAGCCCCACATCTCCCTCATCCCCCAGGGCAGACTCGCCAGCTCGGCCACCCGTCCTCCTTCAGCCTTTCCCGGGGTCGTTTGCCCGCTCGCTGGGCGCCGGGTCCCATCTCCGGGTCGCTCGTTTGTTCGCGGCCTTCACTCGGGGGCTCTTCAGTTCGGCCTTTCGCTGGGTCTCCCTTGGGGTGTCCTGACGCACGTCCCTCTGTCCTGCCCGCCTGGGGCCGGTTTGCCGCTTCCTTCCTTCCTTCCTTCCCTTCCTCCTTCCTTCCCTCCATCCTTCCTTCGTCCCCCAGCCTGGCACTGGCTTCTCGCTTCCTCCTGCCTTCCTTCCTTCCCTCCCTCCATCCTTCCCTCCTCTGTCCCCCCAGCCTGGGGCTGTCTTCCTCCTTCCTTCCTTCCTTCCTTCCTTCCTTCCTTCCCACCTTCCCTCCTTCGTCCCCCAGCCTGGCGCTGGCTTCCCGCTTCCTCCTTCCTTCCTTCCCTCCATCCTTCCCTCCTTCCTTCCTGCCCTCCATCCTTCCCTCCTCTGTCCCCCCAGCCTGGGGCTGTCTTCCTTCCTTCCTTCCTTCCTTCCTTCCTTCCCACCCTCCCTCCTTCCTTCCCTCCTTCGTCCCCCAGCCTGGTGCTGGCTTCCCGCTTCCTCCTTCCTTCCTTCCCTCCATCCTTCCCTCCTCTGTCCCCCCAGCCTGGGGCTGTCTTCCTCCTTCCCTCCTTCCTTCCTTCCCACCTTCCCTCCTTCCTTCCTTTGTCCCCCAAGCCTGGAGCTGGCTTCTCACTTCCTCCTTCCTCCGTCCCCCCAGCCTGGGGCTGCCTTCCTCCTTCCTTCCTTCCTTCCTCCGTCTCCCCAGCCTGGGGCTGCCTTCCTCCTTCCTTCCTTCCTTCCTTCCTCCATCTCCCCATCCTGGGGCTGCCTTCCTCCTTCCTTCCTTTGTCCCCCAGCCTGGAGCTGGCTTCCCGCTTCCTCCTTCCTTCCTTCCCTCACAGAAGATCAAAGTTGGAAGAGACCTCAGGAAGTCATCTAGTGCAACCCCCTGCTCAAAGCAGGACCGATCAGCAGGGAGGGGGGAGTGTTGACCTGGGAATGTGCCC